CACCACCACCTTTCTTCTTCTCTGAGAGTTCTTCATTCCTGTCTGCACGATGTACTGAGAACCCAGCTGGCTGTATGGATGGAGACAGTATATCCAGAGAGAGCCATGATTCCGTGAAAAAGAGTACGTTACAGTCCCTGATGTCTCTCTGGAAGGAGATCCTCGTCCTGAGCTTGTCTACTTTATTGTCCATGGACTGAACATCAGCGAGTAAAATACTCGGAAGTGGTGGATGGTGTGCACGCCTCCTGAGTCGGACTAGAAGTCCACTCTGAATACCTCTTCTCCGCCGGCGGCGACTTGGAGCAGCCTCTGGGATAAGTTCAATTGTCCTGGGGGGATACGAACAAAGAATCCAATTCGGGAAAGTCGTATTTCTGGTCGTAATACTGGTGAGTTACCGCCGCTCTGATATCCAAACGTTTTTTCTGGCTGTATGTAATAACACAAAAAACTTTCTGGGTTAATAATGTAAGAAATGACACACAAAAAAGCTAAATACTGCAAAGTTGCTTAGGAGCTAGAAGCAGAGCTCCCATGTCTGTCGGCGCCATCTTCCAAAAAAGCATACATGACTGTTCCTACATGGACAAAACCCTCTCACATACCTTCTCACAGGCTGCCTAGCATACTTTAAAAAACCAACACTAAAACTAAAACAGGCTGCTTAGCATACTTAATTGCCTGCTGATGGACCATCAACTGTTGATGGGCTTCCATTGTATTTATATTTTACATTTTAGTCATTTAGCAGACACTATTTAAAACTGGTTAGGTAGGTTTATGTCCCCAGAACACACCTGGCCCAATGGGCAATCCGCAAGCAGTTGTCGGACTTCACAGAAAAGTGAACATTAAACACAGTTGCAATGTATTTTCTACAAACCGATATGATATCTATATCAAATTGAAAAAATGCAACTGGATGTCCATATCGTTGCCCATCACTAATTTAAAGGATGTATTCATTGAGTGATTGAATTTTTTACTTACACATTAGACCATGAATTCTTTGCTGAAACATTTTATGAAATGGGGGACTGAAATGAATGAATGTATGCTAGTGTGTTATGCCATGAATTTTAACTAACTCATTTTATGAAATTGGTGAATATAGTGAATGAATGTATTATAGTGTGTAGACCATTAAAATCCTTAAGAGTCTATTGACGCACCCGTGCATCAATCTAACTAACATAATAAAAAAATCCCCATCAAAATCCGTCGGCCTTCCGCATCTGCGATGGAAGGTGGCCGAGCTACAGCAATGTTTGTCAGAACATGAATGTATGTAGAGTCCGAACAGTTTGTCCATTTTGCTCTATGACCCTCACAAGTATCACAGGACTCGTCTGAAGGTAACCCATACAAACGAATGGAGGTATGGAGGTATTTTTGTACCAACAGAAATAAGGGGTTAAATATGTGTATAAAGGGCCTCCCGAGTGGCGCAGCGGTCTAAGGCACTGCAGTGCTTGAGGCGTCACTACAGATCTGGGTTCAATCCCGGGCTGTGTCGCAGCCAGCCGAGACCGGGAGACCCATGATGCGATGCACAATTGGCCCAGCGTCGTCCGGGTTAGGGGAGAATTTGTCCGGCCGGGATGTCCTTGTCCCATCACGCTCTAGCGACTCCTGTGGCGGGCCGGGCGCATGACACGGTTGCCAGTTGAACAGTGTTTCCTCCAACACATTGGTGAGGCTGGCTTCCGGGTTAAGCGAGCAGTGTGTCAAGAAGCAGTGTGGCTTGGCAGCAATGGGACAAGACTGTAACTACCAACTGGGGAGAAAAAGGGGTAAAAAAAACAAAAACTAAAAACAGTTAAAAATGAATACTAAAATAAACTTGACCAACATTTAAACATGTAAAACTAAAATGTGTATACAAATACTATATACCTTTCCTGAGCTTTCTTATATATCCTAGATACAGGAAAGACACTTCAAAACCTTATTCCTTATGATTATTTTTTTGACTGTCTTTTTTGTCATTTATGAATGTGTTATTCAATGTGTTTTATGAATGTGTTATTCAATGCGTTTCTATGGGCTAAATTCAATATTTTATCAATTAATTTTCAAATATTTGTTTTGATACCTAAAGAGATCTTAACATTCCAAATCAAATACCTAAATGATCCATGGTATGACCATCTTAAAACAATTCCATATGTTAGCTTAGTACCCCCCCCCAAATGCCTTTGCTGACCTTGATTGATAACCATCATAATATAACTTGTAAATAATCTTATTGTTTAATAATAATATCTCTGATATTGTTTTTGGAAACTAGGTAATATGCCTTTACTGTATACTGCTAACCTTGTTAGATAAGCACAACAAATATAGGCCTCTAAGCTGTAAGTAATTGTCTCCATTGCTGTTCTGAAAGCGTGATTATACTGTTTACTAATAGCCTGGTTGGTATTCATTATGTTTAACTTGTTAATAAATACGATTCTCGTTTTGACAAAAAAAGTTTGCCTGATGTGTATTTTTTTGTGTGTTGATAGTTTAGTGTGCACACTGTATATAGGCATTGACTTCAGGACTATGGATAGCATCGGGTCATTTTAAGGTTGTTTTACCTACAATGTTCATATTAAGTAGTTGAAATACTAAGGGTTGTTTATAGGGTTAGGCTTATAGACATTTTTCTCTATAAGCCAATATGGAATTTATAGGCCTATTGCATTGGGACCAATGGAGTGGGCGGAGAATAAAGTGCTGCTTGGAATTTAGACCTCAGTCCCCCATGAAATAACAGCATATATATATTCTACAGACCCTACTGAGTATTCCCAACCCCAATTTTATCTCGCCACATATAAACATTTTTTCCCCTCTATAAGCCAACATGTAATTTATAGGCTTGCAGTGTATTGCATTGTGACCATTGGCATGGGTGGAGAATAAAGTGCTACTAGCTATTTAGACCTCAGTCCCCCATGAAATAACAACATATATAGATTCTACAGACCCTACCGAGTAATCCCAATCCCACTTTTACCATAAAATATTGTTTTTCTCTATAAGCCAATTTGTAATTTGTATACAGTAAATTGCATTGCAGTGAATGGAGTGGGTGGAGTGAGGAGTCACCAGCACTCTGTTTTAAACCCGTTGCCCAGTTCAAGAGACCAATTTAGGTTTTGCAGACTCTATTGAGTAATTCCAATTACATATATTTGTATTTTATTAAAAGTGTAATTCTTTAAATATAGCCTACACAATAGCTTTCAACATACCAGTGGTGTAAACTTTCTAAAGAAATGCTGGTATAAATAATACTATATTAAAAATAAAAGTATATCAAACTATCCAGAATTTTTTCAAAGGTGTTTGCAATGCTGTGAAAAACAGTTGTACCCCACTAGAGTGCCCCCCCCCCCCAAAAAAAATCTATATACCCAAAGTTTATCATGTCTTTGTAGGGAGACTGTTATTTAGAGAAAAATAAATACGCTATCGTGCTGGCAGCATAATATCCTGCTGCTATGAGAACGGTAGCCTAATCTTCCCGACCAGCAAACCTTTGATGACGTCATTCCAGGTAAGGAAAGTGTGCGCCAACAAAAGTATCACGTTCCCTTTTAATTGGCGCTTGGGTTACGTCATTTATTCCTAAATTGGTGAGAGAATTGATAAAGAGAGAATTGATAAAGACAGAATTGGTTAAAACTGCTACAATGGAATTACCCATTTTGCACGAGAAAGTTTATAGTTTACTCTTAGTTTATTATTCTTGATACAAGAAACACTTCAACACAAAGTAAAATATTCACCAAGTCATTCTTTATAGCCCATAAATAGCCAGGTAATCAAGAAAACAGCACGTTCGACTGTTATACGTCATTAATTAGCTTCCGCCCCACAAAGGAGTAACCAATAATAGCTCCCCCCTTTCTATAGCCATACCTATAGTTCCTATAAATTGCATCAAATGCTTTAATTGAAGAGATCGAGTTCAAACAACAGTAATTGTGACAAAATTAATGCAAATAGTTCAGTATACATACATTGTATCAATATGGAAATGATTATGTAAGTGTCTACTCTCACACAATTACATCCCACTCGGAATCTTTTCAGTGCAAGGATTAATGGCTGAATTGGAGGCAGTCAATGTACGGGTCTCCTGTTATTGTTTACATTTTGAAACAGCATACGGCCTCTACTTAATGAGGGTGTCATTGCCAGTGAATTTTAAGTTATTATTGAGTAAAGTTTTACTTCGTTTTTCATGTTCGTAAATTGCGTTGACAAGTATATCAATCAGTTGGTGGTGACGAAGTAGCTAGCTAGTCTGCTATGCTAACCATAATAGCTAGCTGGCTGGCTACAAAAGCTAGCGAGTTATTTGTCGGGTCTAGTTATCTAGCTACTGTAGTAAGCTAACTAACTGATACACTTGATTGGTACCACATTGTCAGTTTGTCCATTGGATAAAAACATGGTTTATGTTGCTAGCTTCATTAGGAATGTCAACGTTTGAGACCAGACAACATCGTTAATTTAGCTAGCTAGCGAATTTAGCTAACGTTAGCTAGTTAAAATGGTCTCAAGTTGTAATGATGTGCTAACATGTTAATGCTACATATGTTATTTAAATTGTTATTTTCCTAGAGATGACAATTTGAGCAGCTTTTGCTGGGCTAACCGAAGCGCGGCTAGCTATAGCTCTCGAAGGGTGTCTTGAAACTTGGATCTCGAGGATGTTCAAATGACTGGAGAAGCATAGCGCAGACTGAGTTGCAAAGGTCTAGGCAAGATCACCAGAGGAAACACAGGTATAACACACCATGATTTTTATGTGTGATGTCATTACCTTCATTTGAATGTATTCTTATTCTATTACAGTGTATGGTTCTTCCCCCTCCCCTTTTCCCACAGAGAATATAGATGTGTTAATTTGACCATGAATATATATATATATATATATATATATATATAACTATGTTTTTGCAAAAACGAAATCTGTCCATTTTGCTTGACCTTAGGGGTGCACAATGTTTAGTGCAACTCAGAGTTCCAAGTCTGAGTTCCTGGACAAAGCCAGGCAGGCGCGTGAGGAGAGGAAGGGGTACAAAGAAAGGGACCGAGCAGCCACCCTAATTCAAGCGCTGGTCAGGAGATTCCTCTGTCGCTGCAGACTCCAGAAACAAATAAGGTTTGCTTTACAAGCAATGCTTGCCGTTATGCATGTTCCGGAGACATTTGAAACCCCACCTCTTTAAGGAATACCTGGGATAGGATAAAGTAATCCTTCTACCCCCCCCTCTGGATAAGAGCGTCTGCTAAATGACGTAAATGTAAATGCATTAGTAGACATAATCTTTCTTGAGACTAGTTTGTGAATAAACCTTTGAAGTAATGTGTGAATTCTCTTTTTCTTACTAGGAAAGAAGTTGATGACTTTTTCCAAGATGCCGGGACCACAAAAAGAAACGCACTATCCATTTTTAAAATTGCACGGAAGTTGTTATTCATTTTTTGCCAAGATGATAAGCTGGTAAGTTCTTTAACACCTACGCTTTACCCTCACTGATTTGAATGTATGTTTTGTACATTGTTATTAATCGTCTTTTACTGGATGATGTTTCTTATTTATTTACTAATTGAAAGGCATATGAATGATTACATATCAATATAGTACTTGAGATTTAGTGCAGATTGCTTAGTGTACATATAACTAACAAGTTATGATGCTTTTAACTACAGATGTTTGAGAAGCTTTGTCGCTCCATTCTTGGCAGTATGGAGGTTGAAAATGAGCCCAAAGTGAGTATGATTATAATTAAGGAATCATCAGTGAGAACAGATTTTTAATTAACTCAGTGTGATTGACTCTGACTTGATATATAGTAATTTATTGTGTTCTTTGTTATCAGGTTTGGTATGTGTCATTAGCCCTTTCTAAAGACCTCACCATTCCTTGGATCAAGCAGATTAAAGATGTTCTGTGGGTCTCCTGTCAGTTCCTGAAAAAATTAAAGGTAAATCTGAATGCTCTGATAATAACCTTCTTTAAGATAACAGGTGTATCATTTTAAATATTGAAATGTTATAATTGTATCTTTACCCCCCACCTTCCTTCTTTCTCTTGTAGCCTGACATCATGCAGGACAATAAGCTGGTGACTCTGTACCTCACCATGCTGGTGACCTTCACAGACACATCAACCTGGAAGATAGTGAGAGGGAAAGGTCGGTCTCAGGTCAAACCACTGCAGCAGTGCACACACATCCTCTATATAAGTGTCTTGATGTTGAAAGGAAAATACATAAAGTGTAATCCTCCCCCCAAAAATCTCCCTCTGTGGTAGGCGAGGCCCTCAGACCAGCGTTGACCCGGATCTGTGAGAACATCATGGGGCATCTCAATCAAAAGGGATTTTATTCAATACTGCAGGTACTGTGACACATACGACATCTTCCATCTTTTCACCAGGGCTTTCAGAACGATTATTATGACGTTGCTGACGTTTATTGGTGGTTTCTGCAATTTTGAATTCACTTGTAGATTCTACTCACCAACGGATTGGCACGCTCCAGGCCCTCTCTTACCAAGGGCACACTCACAGCAGTATTCACTTTGGCATTAAGGTGAGTGGCCACTGGAAGCTCTCTCATTCCCATTCGACCACCACGGATCAATTGTCTCTGTATCACTAGAGCCTGGGGCAGTTCTATTGTAGTAGATACCTACGGTTCTGCTTGCTCACGTTTCCCTCTGTAACTGGGTTTGTTGTAGAAAAAATCTAATAAAATTGTGTCTTAGCTTAATGGAATATGAAGTCCTATCTTATCAAAGTGTATGATCTGCTTGGTTACCTCTTTAGAATGCTTGGAGCTGAAGAAGCCTTGGGATCCATTAGTGTAACTTGTCTTTATTTTACAGACCTGTCATTGCTGCTCACTTCTCTGACAACCTGCTGAGGTCTCTCCTCATCCACATCATGTCTGTCCCAGCAGTCGTCTCCCACATCTACACCATCACCCCAGAGGTAAACGCTAAACACTCAAAATGAAGAAATTACAGCCTATTCTCTACCTAGTGCACTATCTAGGGTATAGGGTGCCATTTCAGACACACCCTAGGTCTTTATTGTATAGACATATATAACAGCTTGTACAATGACAAGGCCTCTGAGTGTGTCCTTGTCTCTGTGCAGTGCATGACCACCATCCAGACCCACGACCTGTTGAGGAAGTTCATCCTGTTCCTTAGCCGCGAGGAGCAGTGTGTCGACATCTGTGTCTGCCTGGAGGGGAGCCACACACTGTGCTTACTGGGTAGGGCTGTTTAAACTGACTCGCATATCTATTCTATGGCAATATTTTTTTTTATTCTTTACTATAGACTACTGTGAGTGTTCATGTTTGAGTTGCCTTTTTTTGTCTCACTCTTTCTTGTCTTTCTCTGTGCGGTGCTGTGGGAAGCATACTGAATCAGTTATTTGGGGTTGCTGCTCTGCGTGGCCTCTGTTTCATCCTGTTGTACTGTAGGTAACCTGATTCACCTGGGCTACCTCAACGAGAAAGTACTGGAGGAGGAGGCCAACCACTTTGTGAAGGACCTGACGGACATGCTGTCCTACTGCCAGAGATACGTGTCCCAGAAGAAATCTAACCTCACCCACTGGCACCCCGTCCTGGGCTGGTTCTCCCAAACCGTAGACTATGGGTCAGTGAGACATCCTCATAGCCTGATCCCAGATCGGTTTGTGCTCTCTTGCCGACTCTTATGGTTGTTGTCATCCCAAAATCATGACAATGACCATAGGAGCAAAACAGCACAAACCGAAATGGGATCTCAACTAGGGCTGTTAAGGTAACCGCATTACCGCCACACCGGCGGTCATGACCGCAGTCAAATTCCACGTGACCGTTTAGTCACAGTAATTAGTCTTCTCCAAGCTCTGATGCTGCTGATGGTCATTAGTAGCCTACCAAACTTGCTAACTGCCTGGTACTCAGCACTCTATTGTCCCTCTAATCACTCTGACATCAATGCAAATGTCATCAAAAATCTAATCAAACACTTCATGAGAGCTCATGTTGCGCAACATTTCTATAGGCTATGCAATTGAGAAAACAGAGTTTTCATGGCCTCTATTAAAAAGAGGAGGATCCCATCAGCTTTCTATAGCCTTACAATATTCATTTCTCAACTTTCCTAATATTAAGCACATTGCTTCTCTTTACAACAGGAGTATAGCCAACCTGGCTGGCATGAAAATGAACCACGGGAAAAGTGTCCTCCATTCGCTATTTAAGTGCATATATGTATTTTTTTCCCATGCCCCTGTTTCGAGACAGGTGCATGATAATGGTCCATTCTAAATCAAAACAAATTTCACACATATATATTATTTAGTATATGTAAAGACAAGATTAAATCAAGAATAGTCTGATGGGTGACAATATTAGCCTATCACTTGTGAATAATGCCCTGCTTGTGTGCAGTAAGGCAAGAAACAGCACATACCTTTTTTAACGACTTTTTCAAATCATAGTCGCACACCTCATGTAGCCTAGCCCATAGGCCTATATGTTTTGATAAGGTTTGTATCACAACTAAAGTGGCCAAATAACTTCTTAAAATTAAGCACATTAATCCGCTTTACAACCGGTGTAGAGCCTAACTGGCATACATAGGCGGCGTGTGAGTTTCAAGTTTGGGGAAGATAATTGTCACCATAAAAATGAACCTTTATAATAAAGCATTACATTCATAATCGCGTTTGCGGCCACTTTTGAGAATGGTGTTTTCCCGCTAATTAATTGACATTCACGCTTATAGCCTACTGCCGTGTGCGCATTGCTGTGCTTATAATGTGAAGAAATAGCCTAATAATTTATCAACATTTTAAGATAAACCAGGGTTCCCCAACTGGTGGTCCGTGGGTGGTTTTATTTGGCTCCCCAGGTTTTCTGAGCAAAAAAATACAAACTTTTTTAATTTTTATTAATTGTTGGACATAAGACTGTAAAAACACCAGGAAATCAGCTCCAAGTGATTTTAATTTAAGAAGTCTGTTCCCAAGTATTCCAACGTATAATAGAGCGACACGTGATCGTATACAAATGTAAGCAAGGTTTGAAATGATTATGTTTTAGTCAAACATTATATCGGTTTGGGCTTCTTGCGGTCAATTTGTAGTCTACAAATGATTTGTAATTATGTTCTGGCCCCCCGAACCTTCCGCTCAAGAAAAAATTGGCCCGCGGCTTAATCTAGTTGATGATCCCTGAGCTAAACGTTCTGATCTGTTGCATCAGCCTCATTGCTTTAAAAAAAATGTTTGATGCTAGTGGTTGTATTAATTTGGGATCTATCGCATCCCACAACTGTTCCAGACTATGTTTGGAATATTTATTTCTGGCACAGAAGGACAAGTTGTTATACTTGTTTGTACTATGGGGGATAGTAGATTGACATAGGCTAGTGCTTTTGCTGTTTGTTAGGCCTTGTTGGCTGACGAAAAGTTCTTCCAACATCTTCAATATGCGCCTCGGAATTTGATAAGGACGCGTGCAGTTGCGTCCCTGATGTGTCTGTTTTAACTTGTAGCCTCTGAGAAGAACCTGATCACGTGACGGGCATTGGCTAATAAGAATTGCGATATCTGATAGAGCCACGTGAGTGAGAGGTGCTTCGGAGCACTCAGCTGGGAGAAGGAATTATAATTATTATATTCAGCCCAAGGGCACAACGGCCACTGGCCGCAAAAGGCATGGATTCTTTTCATTACGGCCACACAAAGGGGATGCCGCCGGGAAATTCTAGGCATTATCAAGTGCTTGTCAAATTGTGAATGAGAGACTGATGAAGTGTGTGCAGCCTGAGCAAAAAACTAAATAAAGCAGAGCTCATGCCTTTCATGCAAAAAATAATCATAATTAGTTGCATCAAGCAGCCTTAGAATGTATAAAAAAATCTAAACATATAGCCCAACGTTTGTATCACAACTAAAGTTGCATAAATAACTCTAAATGTAGGAGGACCTGTTTCTTTGTTAACCGCTCAACACAGAATAGCCGCATGTGCGCACTCCGTCAAATTGTTTGGAGAAAATATCCTTTATTTTATTCAGCTACACTATATATACAAAACTGTGGACATCCCTTCAAATTGGTGGATTTGGCTATTTCAGCCACACCCGTTGCTGAGAGGTGTATAAAATCGAGAACATCGACAAACATTGACAGTAGAATGGCCCGTACTGAAGAGCTCAGTGACATTCAACGTGGCACCGTCATAGGAGGCCACCTTTTCAACAAGTCAGTTCGTAAAATATCTGCCCTGCTAGAGCTGCCCCGGTCAACTGTAAGTGCTGTTATTGTAAAGTGGAAACGTCTAGGAGCAACAATGGCCCAGCCGCGAAGTGGTAGGCAACACAAGCTCACAGAATGGGACCACTGAAGCGCGTAAGAATTGTCTGTCCTCCGTTGCAACACTCACTACAGAGTTCCAAACTGCCTCTGGAAGCAACGTCAGCACAACTGTTCGTCTGGAGCTTCATGAAATGGGTTTCCATGGCCAATCAGCCGCACACAAGCCTAAGATCACCATGCGCAATGCCAAGCATCGGCTGGAGTGGTGTAAAGCTTGCCACCATTGGATTTTAGAGCAGTGGAAACACGTTCTCTGGAGTGATGAATCATGCTTCACCATCTGGCATTCTGATGGACGAATCTGGGTTTGGCGGATGCCAGGAGAACTCTACCTGCCCGAATACGGAGTGCCAACTGTAAAGTTTGGTGGATGAGGAATCATGGTCTAGGGCTGTTGTTCATGGTTCGGGCTAGGCCCCTTAGTTCCAGTGAAGGGAAATCTTAATGCTACAGCATACAGTGCATTCGGAAAGACCCATTCACTTTTTCCACATTCTGTTACATTACAGCCTTATTCTAGCGTTTTTTTCCTCATCAATCTACACACAATACCACATACTGACCAAGCGAAAACAGGTTTTTAGAAATTGTAGCAAATGTATTAAAAATAAAAAACAGATTATTATTATATTATTTACAGTAGTAAGTATTCAGACCCTTTGCTTTGAGACTCGAAATTGAGCTCAGGTGCATCCTGTTTCCATTGATGATCCTTGAGATGTTTCTACAACTTGATTGGTGTCCACCTGTGGTAAATTCAATTGATTGGACTTGATTTGGAAAGGCACACACCTGTCTATACAAGGTCCCACAGTTGACAGTGCATGTCAGAGCAAAAACCAAGCCATGAGGTCAAAGGAATTGTCCGTAGAACTCCGAGACAGGTTTGTCTTCAATGGAAGAAGTTTGGAACCACCAAGACTCTTCCTAGAGCTGGACGCCCGGCCAAGCTGAGCAATCGGGAGGGAAGGGCCTTGGTCAGGGAGGTGACCAGGAACCCAATGGTCACTCTGACAGAGTTCCTCTGTGGAGATGGGAGAACCTTCCAGAAGGACAACCATCTCTGCAGCACTCCACCAATCAGGCCTTTATGGTAGAGTGGCCAGACTGAAGCCACTCCTCAGTAAAAGGCACATGACAGCCCACTTGGAGTTTGCCAAAAGGCACCGAAAGGATTCAGACCATAAGAAACAAGATTCTCTGGTCTGATGAAACCAAGATTGAACTCTTTGGCCTGAATGCCAAGCGTCGCGTCTGGAGGAAACCTGGCGCCGCTCATCACCTGGCCAATACCATCCCTACGGTAAAGCATTGTGGTGGCAGCATCATGCTGTGGGGATGTTTTTCAGCAGCAGGGACATGGAGACTAGTCAGGATCGAGGGAAAGATGAACGGAGCAAAGTACAGAGAGATCCTTGATGAAAACCTGCTCCAGAGCGCTCAGGACCACAGACTGGGGCGACGGTTCACCTTCCAACAGGGCAACGACCCGAAGCACACAGCCAAGACAACGCAGGAGTGACTTCGGGACAAGTCTCTGAATGTCCTTGAGTGGCCCAGCCAGAGCCCGGACTTGAACCAGATCGAACATCTCTGGAGAGACCTGAAATTAGCTGTGCAGCGACTCTCCCCATCCAACCTGACAGAGCTTGAAAGGATCTGCGGAGAAGAATGGGAGAAACTCCCCAAATACAGGTGTGCCAAGCTTGTAGCGTCATACTCAAGAAGACTCGAGGCTGTAATCGCTGCCGAAGGTGCTTTAACAAAGTACTGAGTAAAGGGTCTGAATACTTATGTAAATGTGATATTTAAGTTTTTTAATTTTAATACATTTGCAAAAATGTCTAAACCTGTTTTTGCTTCATCATTATGGGGTATTGTTTGTAAAGTGATGAGGAAAAAAACGATTTAATAAATTTCAGAATAAGGCTGTAACGTAACAAAATATGGAAAAGGTCAAGGGGTCTGAATACTTTCCAAATGCACAATACTTTCCCGTCCACAAAGCGAGGTCCATACAGAAATGGTTTGTCGAGATCGGTGTGGAAGAACTTGACTGGCCTGCACAGAGCCATGACCACAACCCCATCGAACACCTTTGGGATGAATTGGAACGCTGACTTAGAGCCAGGCCTAATCGCCCAACATCAGTGCCCTACCTCACTAATGATCTTGTGGCTGAATGGAAGCAAGTCACCGCAGCAATGTTACAACATGTAGTGGAAAGCCTTCCCAGAAAAGTGGAGGCTGTTATAGCAGCAAAGGGGGGACCAACTCACTCTCTCTCTCTCTCACACACACACAACCTTCTCTTCCTGCCCCACTCAACCTTCTCTTCATCCCTCCAGTCTGAATGAGTCCATGCCACTGGTCACCAAGCAGCTGCAGTACCTGTGGGGCATGCCTGTGATCCGGACGCTCTTCAGTGACGTCCTTAGCAAAAAGCTGGAGACCCAAGAGCCCACGCCTCCACCACAGCCACAGCCTACCACGTCGCAAAACAACCTGCCAGTCAAGAGTAAGTCGAATTTGTTTTTCAGTTTCTCTTGTGTTTTCCCCCCAGGCACTTAATTGTTTAATGTCAAGGGTTAATTATTTTGACACCATTATCAGATGTATTATCACCTGGATTGTTGTCGATTGATCCAGATAGTTGTGTTTTAAAACAATGAACGAACCCTATCAATGAACTAACCTTATCGGATCGGTTTTCTCTTAGGTCTCTTCAAGCGGGCATTTCAGAAGTCTGCCTCAGTGCGAAACATCCTGAAGCCAGTTGGCGGGAGACGGGTGGACTCCGCTGAGGTTCAGAAAGTGTGCAGCATCTGTGTACTGTACCAGACAGCCCTCACCACGCTCACCCAGATACGACTGCAAATCCTCACTGGTGGGTCTCTGCCTAGTTCCATTTGACTCAGGCACAGACACACAGACACACACACACATTAATGTTCTCTCATGTTGTGTCCGGTGCTGTCCCCCTCAGGCCTAACCTACCTGGACGACCTGCTGCCTAAGCTGTGGGCCTTCATCTGCGAGCTAGGACCCCAAGGAGGGCTCAAGCTGTTCATGGAGTGCCTGAACAACGACACAGAGGAGTCTAAGCAGCTGCTGGCCATGCTCATGCTGTTCTGCGACTGCTCCAGACACCTCATCACGTGAGCTCCATGAACTGCTACCATATAACTTGATACAGTATGGGTTGGTTTCCCAAGCATAGATTAAGTCCAGTCCTAGACTAAGAAGCACTTTCAATGGAGAACCTCTTTCAGTACTAATGTGTCCAGGAAACTAGCCCTAAATACAATATCCGATCTCTGTGCTTACTTATACATGTTATTTACTGACCATCCTTGGTGTGTTACACAGGATCCTGGATGACATTGAGGTTTACGAGGAGCAGATCTCGTTTAAGACGGAAGAGCTCGTCACCATCTCCTCGTTTCTCAACACGTTTGTTTACAAGATGGTCTGGGACGGCATCTTAGGTGAGTCTCCTCCTCCCTCTGTTGAGCTCTTGTCAAACTCGAAGGCGATTTGATAGACAGAATTGCCAATCCCAGGTTCCGGCACCATGAGAAATGGCTTGGGGATAGGGTAGGTGAGTGTTTGCATTACCTTAGTGTGTTGTTGTCTGTGACAGAGAATGCTAAGGGAGAGAAGCTGGACCTGTTCCACAGCGTTCACGGCTGGCTGATGGTGCTTTACGAGCGGGACTGCAGGAGGAGGTTCTCCCCTGATGACAACTGGCTGCGCAAGTAAGTGCCCCTCCGGAAACATACTTATCCTAATCCCTAATCCTTCCCATAATTAGAAGTCTGCACTGCCCAATACCTGCTAAGGTGATCCTAGTGATCAGTAGCGGTCAAATACTTGAGGAGCGCTTGATGAAGCTGGCCCACTACAATGGAACCAATGGAATGTTAGTGCCAACTTTGACCACCCTTTACGCCGGGCAAGCCATATTGGGCCCAACTCCAGTACTTGGAAGTATTTGACTAAATTGAAAATTGAGGTTTTGTGTCACACACAATACCCCATAATATCAGTGGAATTATGTTTTTAGAAATGTTTACAAATTCATTAAAATGAGAAGCTGAAATGTCTTGAGTCAATAAGTATTCAACTATTTTCTTATGGCAAGCCTAAATAAGTTCAAGAGTAAAAATGTGCTTAACAAGTCCCATAATAAGTTGCATGGATTCACTCTGTGTGCATTAATAGTGTTTAACATGATTTTTAAAGTATTACCCCATCTCTGTACCCCACACATACAATTATCTGTAAGGTCCCTCAGTCGAGCAGTGAATTTCAAACACAGATTCAACCACAAAGACCAGGGAGGTTTTCCAATGAAGGTCACCTATTGGTGAAAAAAAAAAAAAAAAAGCAGACATTTAATATCCCTTGGAGCATGGTGCAGTTATTAATTACACTTTGGATGGCGTATCAATACACCCGGTCACTACAAAGATACAGGCGTCCTTCCTAACTCAGTTGCCGGAGAGGAAGGAAACTGCTCAGGGATTTCATCATGAGGCCAAAGGTGATTTTAAAACGACATTGTAGTTACTCCTAATGCTAACCTAATTGACAGAGTGAAAAGAAGGAAGCCTGTACAGAATAAAATATTTCCAAAACATGCATCCTGTTTGCAATAAGCCACTAAAGTAATACTGCTAAAAATGTGGCAAAGAAATGCACTTTTTGTCCTGAATACAAAGTGTTATGTTTGGGTTAATTCCAACACGACACATCTGAGTACCACTCTTCATATTTTCAAACATGGTGTTGGCTGTATCATGTTATGGGTATGCTTGTCATCAGCAAGGACTAGGGAGTTTTTTTAGGAAAAAAATTAATGGAATAGAGCTAAGCACAGGCAACATCCTAGAGGATGACTTTGTTCGGTCTGCTTTCCAACAGACACTGGGAGACAAATTCACCTTTCAGCAGGACAATAACCTAAAACCACAAGGCCAAATATACACTGGAGTTGCTTACTAAGACGACATTGAATGTTTCTGAGTGGCCTAGTTACAGTTTTGACTTAAATCTGCTTGAATATCTATGTCAAGACTTGAAAATGGCTGTCTAGCAATGATCAACAACCAACTTGACAGAGCTTGAAGATTTTTTGAATATGCAAATATTGTACAATCCAGGTGTGCAAAGCTCTGAGATTTACCCAGAAAGAATAACAGCTGTAATGAATTGACTCAGGGGGTTGAATACTTATCTAATCAAGATATATTAGTGTTTTATTATCCATAAATTTTAATATTTTAAAATAATATTTCTTCCACTTTGACATTAGTATTTTGTGTAGATCGTTGACCCAAAAAATACAATTAAATCCACTTTAATCCCACTTTGTAACACAACAAAATGTGGAAAAGGTCAAGGGGTGAATACTTTCTGAAGGCACTGTATTTGTCCCAGGTCTGATCTGTAGGAGACAATTGTGATGTTGGAAAAGGTACACTCACTGACTCACTCGTTCACCCCTTGTGTCCAGGGATCTGAAGCCGAGCCTTTTGTTCCAAGAACTGGAGAAGGGCAAGAGGAGAGCTCAGCTGTTACTTCAGTACATCCCACACGTCATTCCACACAAAAACGTGAGTCGGCACAGAAATCATATTGATCTGTAGTTGTAGTTTCACTATACCCAATATGCACGTAGTGTCTCACTCCCATTCGTCGTCCTCCCCACTTCAGAGGGTCCTGCTGTTCCGGAACATTGTCACCAAGGAGAAGGAAACCTTGGGATTGGTGGAGACCAGCTCCGCCTCTCCGCATGTCACCCATATCACCATTCGCCGCTCGCGGATGTTAGAGGTATGAAATGGATGTATCGAGCTTTTGCATGTTTTCCCCCACACTAGCATATCTCTCTAAGAATGCATTCTCAAAACAGTGGTATGCATGGGTACATATTGGCACAGAGCCTGATGTCAAATACAGTCAGGTATGGTGGCTGTGACTGCAGCCCAAACTGATCACCCAAACTCTTTGTGTCTGAACTCTCTCTTAAGGATGGTTACGACCAGCTCCGCCGGTTGCCCGTCAACTCCATCAAAGGTGTGATCCGCGTGAAGTTTGTCAATGACCTGGGTGTGGACGAGGCCGGCATCGACCAGGACGGCGTCTTCAAGGAGTTCCTGGAAGAGATCATCAAGAAAGTCTTCAATCCGGCACTCAACCTCTTTAAGGTTTGCTCTCCAGACCTTGCTTCAAATACTTTTTGAAATAATTTTGTTATACTGTATCTGTGCTTGATGGAGCTTGCCTGTTGTACTGGAACCAATAGACAAGTCTCAAAAGTGCATACCCTGTCCACCTGGCACCACCTGGCTAAAGCTAACGGTCATAGTCTTTGAAAGATTTCAAATAGTCTCTCAAGGTACTTTTAGCCATTTTCTGTGAACAATGCTGCTACTACTGCTGCTGATTTTGCTGATGTCTCTCCCCCCCCCCCCCCAATAGACCACCAGTGGCAACGAGAGACTGTACCCCTCCCCTACGTCCTACATCCACGAGAACCACCTGCAGCTCTTTGAGTTTGTGGGGAAGATGCTCGGCAAAGCCATGTATGAGGTGTGTCTGCGCTCACAGAGGATGTTATTCATGTGAAATGACCATATATGTAACAAGAATGACTCATTTTAAAGCCACAAGCCCAACTCGCCACTTTTTCCCCTATAATGCTGATGGATGGGTCTGGAGAAATGTAACCACAATTTATAGATGGAGCTATCGATGCAAAGCCTGATAGTCCATGAGATCAATGTGTGTGTGTTTCAGGGTATCGTGGTAGACGTACCCTTCGCCTCCTTCTTCCTCAGCCAGGTCATGGGTCACCACCACAGCACCTTCTACAGCTCCATCGACGAACTGCCCTCCCTGGACTCTGAGTTCTACAAGAACCTCACCTCCATCAAGGTCAGAAAGACCCCCCCCCCCACACACACACACACACTGATAGTCATGTAGTCCCTGGGATCGTGTTCATTACAGCACGCAACGGAAAACGTCTCAAAACAATTTGCAACTGAAAATGAAAGGGAGCGTTTCTTATTGTATAAGTCCAGGTGGTCCTTTCTCCCTGTTTCAGTCTGTTTTATTCCGCTTGGTGCCTGATGAACACGACCCTGGTTTATGGTTACCGCTATTTTGATTTGCGAAGTTGTTTTTGCTTTGCTGTTATCCGTCGCTACTTTCTGTGATCAATATCACTCCAAGTTGTGGAAGTCGACTCAAAATAGTTGTTTTATCTTCGTCTTGTCCTTTTCCAGCGCTACGACGGGGATGTTGGTGATCTGGGACTGACGCTATCGTATGACGAGGATGTTATGGGACAGGTAGAAGCTATAGTTTTTTTCTGAATGTAGAAAAACAGAACTCTACTCTCGTCTCTTAATACTGTCTTCGTGTCATCGCAGCTGGTCTGTCATGAGCTGATTCCTGGAGGAAAGACGATGACGGTCACCAATGAAAACAAGTGAGCAAGATGCAGATTCAGTATCTAGAACAAACATTTATTGATGTCATTTTGATGTTCACACCCTTGTTCACTAAATACAATATTTATTTATTGTCCAGGTAGTTATAACAAGTTGGGTTGGATGATGACATGGGTCCCGTCCAGAAACAACCCCTAACCCGGCCCTTTGACACTTCTGGAGATCTGATAGGTATAAGCAATATGGTGTATGTCCTACCAAGCCTATCACAGGGCAAGGTAAATGTACTAGCATATTCCTTATTATACCTATCAAAACCTTTCAGTTCTCCACAAGTACCTAGGCAGGAAGGGCTGGATGGTTGTTTCTAGACAGGCCCAGGGTTCTCCCCAAAGAATGCTCCATTCTGTCCTCCACTATGAAAAAATAAAAAAGGAAATGTTTGGCTCTAGATTGCAGGAAATGGCAGTTATAGGTGTTAAAACAATTCTCAAATCTCACTGCCCCCCGCCGGGTCTCGCCCTGCAGTACTCGGCAACACCACCTTGTTAAAAAATGCTGGGGAGAACCCTGAGACCCATGGTGTTCCGAGTCTGACTTAAACTCACCTTTGACCTTCCCCGTGCTGCAGGATCAGCTACATCCACCTGATGGCGCACTTCCGCATGCACACGCAGATAAAAGAGCAAACGGCAGCTTTCATCCGAGGGTTCCGCAGCATCATCAACCCGGAGTGGCTGCACATGTTCTCCACTCCCGAGGTCCAGCGCCTCGTCTCCGGGGACAACGCCGAGATAGACTTGGACGACCTCAAGTGCGTGACCTTCGACCCTCTTTTCCCCCGATCAGCTCCTCCACTTGACAGCTTTTCGACCTGCCAGTTCCCAAACATTTGAGGGAAATCCTGAAATCCTAGTATCCACCGTGTCCAAATGGTTTGAATGTCCCATTTGATTGGGTAACAGACAATGAGTTGACTGTAAGGTTGTAAAGCCAAGGTGAAGGTGCTTGCTGACATGGTCTCTCTCACTCTCTCTTTCCTGCCCTCTTTCTTTTTCTTTCTCTCGCTCTGTCTGTCTCTCTGTCTCTGTCTTTCTCTCTCGCTCTCTCTCTCCTGTTGGCAGGAAACACACAGTGTACTATGGAGGTTTCCACAGCAGCCATCGGGTCATCATCTGGCTGTGGGACATCCTGTCCAGTGACTTCTCCTCTGAGGAAAGGGCCATGTTCCTCAAGGTAATAACAACCCCCAAATGTTACTATACTGAACAAAGATATAAACGCAACATGTAAAGTGTTGGTCCCGTGTTTCATGAGCTGAAATAAAAGATCCCAGAAATGTTCCATACGTACAAAAAGCGTATTTTTCTCAAATCTTGTGCACAAATTTGTTTACATCCCTGTTGGTGAGCATTTCTCCTTTGCCAAGATAATCCATCCACCTGGCAGGTGTGGCATATCAAGAAGCTGATTAAACAGCATGATCATTACACAGGCGCATCTTGTGCTGGGGACAATAAAAGGCCACTCTAAAATGTGCAGTTTTGTCACACAACACAATGCCACAGATGTCTCAAGTTGAGGGAGCGTGCAATTGGCATGCTGACTGCAGGAATTTCCACCAGAGCTGTTGCCAGAGAATTTAATGTTTATTTCTCTACCATAAGCTGCCTCCAATGTCGTTTTGTAGAATTTGGCAGTACATCCAACCAGCCTCACAACCGCAGACCACGTGTAACCATGCCAGCCCAGGATCTCCACACCCAGCTTCTTCACCTGATGGATCGTCTGAGGAGTATTTCTGTCTTTAATAAAGCCCTTTTGTGGAGGGAAAAACTCATTTTGATTGGCTGGGCCTGGCTCCCCAGGCCCACCCAAGGCTGCGCCCCTGCCCAATCATGTGAAATCCATAAATTAGGGCCTAATGAATTCATTTCAATTGACTGATTTTCATTCTATGTACTGTAACTCAGTAAATTCTTTGAAATTGTTGCAATTTGCGTTTAGATTTTTGTTCAGTATAAAATGTTATTTTACTGTTCATGCGTTAACTGCATTACGCCGGCTTGCGGGGCTGCCAGTTTGAGACCCCTGCTCTAGAACGCACTTACACTTGTATAGACCTGTTATGGGATCGTCCTTTGTTGTTGTTCTACTTTTACAGTTTGTCACCAGCTGTTCAAGACCACCCCTCCTGGGTTTTGCCTACCTCAAGCCCCCTTTCTCCATTCGCTGTGTGGAGGTGTCCGACGATCAGGTGAGAACACTTGGATCATTGGAAAGTCTTAAGCCAGATGTTTATACAGTACGCGACACCAGCACGCCTATTACTCTCCATTACACTTTGGCCTTTTAGTTGAAGAACATAGCTTTGGGAAGTCAGTCCCTTGGGATTACTTTGGTTCTCTGTGGGTTTATGTGTGTGCGCTCCTGTCGCCTGTCTCTCTCTAGGACACGGGGGACACCCTGGGAAGTGTCCTGCGGGGTTTCTTCACCATCCGGAAGAAGGAGCCTGGCGGTCGCCTCCCCACCTCGTCCACCTGCTTCAACCTGCTCAAGCTGCCTAACTACAGCAAGAAGAGCATCCTGCGTGACAAGCTCCGCTACGCCATCAGTATGAACACAGGTTTTGAGCTCTCCTAAAATAAACTCCCCCCTGCTTGTGGTCTGCTGCCTGCAAAACTAAAGGACAAACAACTAAAGAGCGCCCTCCTTACCCAGGCTAGGGGCGGCAGCCGGTCAAGTCAGTGGAAATTCACCAAAGCTGAAGGCGAAACAAATCCTTTATCCCAGCCTAGGAAACCAGAAGAGCTCCACCTTCTTTTACTCCAATCAGTCTGGATTCTGGAAACACTCACCCCCAAGGGCTATGAAGCCTATTTGCTGCCTGTGCAACCATGTTAACTTATTTTCTGACCAGTGGCAGTCATTGCCTATGCGAGTTTATTTTACTTTTTTATAGACAAGTAGCTAAAGAAACTGTGGGAGCAGCACAATTGGAACGGTCACGCTCTACTCTAACACTCCCGAAAACCAACCCCATGCTAATAATCATAACAAGGAGGAATGTGTAACCTAACACATTGCTGAACTAAAATGGCTCCATGTCTTACTATTTCTTCTCAGGCTTAACAGAACGATACTTGGATCTAGCACTCCCACGTCAAACGAACTGGAAAGCAATATAGATGCAATGCAAGCCATTACACGCGATAGACTCCTCACTGGAGCAAAATCATAGGAAGCTTTGTTCTACCTGTTGGAATAGGATGTTATCCAAGCAACTTTCCGCTGTCATTCGGTGAGTCTTAATAACCTTGTTGAACATGACGAAAGCACCTTTTTATAAAGGGACAACAAAGCACTGCCTCATGTTCAACAACAAGTTCTGACCACGGAGATGTGGTCACGTGTTGACGCCTGTTTCATATCTGTATATTGTCCTGACGATCTGTCTCTCTCTCTCCTCATACACACACTACAGTCAGTCACCTGACAAAAGCTTTGGAGCCTGTATGTCTCTGTTCTCTAATGTATTCAAATTAGAATTCATGTTACACAACAATGCATTTGTGACCCAAAGTGATGCCATCAATACTTTCACTAAACTCCATGCTGTTATTTGATACCAGATGTTCCGTTATCTTCTGTCATGGTTCCGGATTCTCTTTTCTTGTTGCGTTTGAAAATGGATAATACAGTGGCTCTGGAATGTTTTATATGATTTGCTGTGAAATATCTGGGTCATATATAACTACAGCAGACACGTTGACAACCATTGTTTTTTCCCACTTTGTATTTCCTTAATTGTGACATTCCCAAACTAATCTGTTACAGTGAAGTCAATCATGAACATTTCTCTATATCCACTAGGACTGGCCATGCCTCTTGGAATGGAATCAAGCCATAAACACATAGGACAAGGTATTTATAAGGACTTGAGCCTGCTTACAGACAATTGAATTCCCATGCTCCCTTTTCCGCCATACTGAACCAACCAACTCAGGAAGGTTTGGTGTCATTTCTCACTGGCTGTGCATGCCAAGCCTGTAAGGATTCTCCCTTGTGTCTGGTGACCTTACAGCCATGTGGAAAGGGGTTACACAGGGAGCAAACCATACTATATGTCATGGGTTGGTTGATCATCTGAATCTGAAAGCATTGCTTTTGTGTCTATCTCCCCTCTCCTTTCTTACCCACTCTCTCTTGCACAGAAAACCCTGCTCTTTCTGTGAGAGAAAAAAAAACGAAGGATCGGAAATAATTATACCATGCAAAGGTTGCATTAACAGGGTCAAATAAAAAGAGACAATTTGGCGGAGTTGTTAGTGACATGTAGTTCCAATGTCAAGGTGGTTGGAGACAAGGCAGCAAAGGGTGTTGAGTTTTAATTATGTGAAAGATGAACAGGCTGATAAAAAGTAATAGCCTATTGGTTGATTCAGTATTTAATGCGAACCTGTTTCATGAGGGGTGTACATGTTTGCACTGAGTGGTTGTCAGAACCATAGACATGGATCTGGTTGTGGTCATAAAAAAAAAAGAAGGAATTAAGACTTTTTAAGCACCATTAATAATGTATCTTATACAGTACCCGTCAAAGGTTTGGACACACCTACTCATTCAAGGGTTTTTCTTTGTTTTCCTATTTTCTACATTGTAGAATAATAGTGAAGACATCAAAACGATGAAATAACACCTATGGAATCATGTAGTAACCAAAAAAGTGTTAAATCAAAATATATTTTATATTTGAGATTCTTCAAAGTAGCCACCCTTTGCCTTGATGACAGCTTTGCACACTCTTGGCATTCTCTCAACCAGCTTCATGAGGAATGCTTTTCCAACAGTCTTGAAGGAGTTCCCACATATGCTGAGCACTTGTTGGCTGCTTTTCCTTCACTCTGCGGTCCAACTCATCCCAAACCATCTCAATTGGGTTGAGGTCGGGTGATTGTGGAGGCCAGGTCATCTGATGCAGCACTCCATCACTCTCCTTCTTGGTCAAATAGCCCTTACACAGCCTGGGGGTGTGTTTTGGGTCATTGCCCTGTTGAAAAACAAATGATAGTCCCACTAAGCGTAAACCAGATGGGATGGCGTATCGCTGCAGAATGCTGTGGTAGCCATGCTGGTTAAGTGTGCCTTGAATTCTAAATAAATCACTGACAGTGTCACCAGCAAAGCACCATCACACCTCCTCCTCCATGCTTCACGGTGGGAACCACACATGCGGAGATCATCCGTTCACCTACTCTGCGTCTCACAAAGACATGGCGGTTGGAACCAAATATCTCACATTTGGACTCATCAGACCAAAGGACAGATTTCCACCGGTCTAATGTCCATTGCTCGTGTTTCTTGGCCCAAGCAAGTCTCTTCTTCTTATTGGTGTCCTTTAGTAGTGGTTTCTTTGTAGCAATTTGACCATGAATGCTTGATTCACACAGTCTCCTCTGAACAGTTGATGTTGAGATGTGTCTGTTACTTGAACTCTGTGAAGCATTTATTTGGGCTGCAATCTGAGGTGCAGTTAACTCTACTGAACTTATCCTCTGCAGCAGAGGTAACTCTGGGTCTTCCTTTCCTGTGGCGGTCCTCATGAGAGCCAGTTTCATCATAGTGCTTGATGGTTTTTGCGACTGCACTTGAAGAAACTTTGTTGACATTTTCCGGATTCACTGACCTTCATGTCTTAAAGTAATGATGGACTGTCGTTTCTCTTTGCTTATTTGAGCTGTTCTTGCCATAATATGGACTTGGTCTTTTACCAAATAGGGCTATATTCTGTATACCACCCCTACCTTGTCACAACACAACTGATTGGTTCAAACCCATTAAGAAGGAAATAAATTCCACAAATTAACTTTTATCAAGGCAAACCTGTTAATTGAAATGCATTCCAGGTGACTATCTCATGACGCTGGTTGAGAGAATCCCAAAAGTGTGCAAAGCTGTCATCAAGGCAAAGGGTGGCTACTTTGAAGAATTTGTTTAACACTTTATTGGTTACTACCTGATTCCATATGTGTTATTTCATAGTTTTGATGTCTTTACCATTATTCTACAATGTAGAAAATAGTAAAAATAAAGAGAAAAAAACCTGGAATGAGTAGGTGTGTCCAAACTTTTGACTGGTACTGTATATCCTGGCCACTAGTTAACAGAAAAACACATTTCTGATGATTATACAGGCATTTTATGGCCACTAAACAAGGTTCTATATGGTTTTGTATTGCTTTGCTATCTAAAATCTACCCATGAACTGAAATCTGTGATCTATTTGTCTGTGTATAGTAATATTATGGGGTACAACCTACCTGTACAGGCATCCCCCCCCCCCCCCCCCCAGTTATGAATGCCATCAATCTCATTGACAAATCGAAATGACAACTTGTCTTAGTGACTGTATGGGAAGACCTTAACTCAATTTTCAGTCTGTTGGGATCACTGCGAAATATTTCCTTCATTCTCAAGGACTAATCAGTGCTCAATCCCTTACAAAAAAAGATTGCAGTTTTGAAACTGCAGTAAAAGTGCAGTAACTGCAGTCGACTGGTATTTTGGACACAGTAATTGCAGAATAAGTGCAGTGAACTGCTGTTACACTGCAACATTACTGCAGTAAAAAAAGTGTTATTTTAAATGCAGTATTTGCAGCATACTGCAGTTATACTGCAATCTGACTGCAATTTTTTTCATAAGGGATGACTTCAGTGGTGCCAGTCTGACTAAAGGTTACCCATCATTTCTTTCAATAAATTGTTTCAACAGCCTGAAATGGGTTAAAAATGAGTAATGGAATGGAAATGCTCAGTGTCCCAGAGAAGACTGGAAGATACCTCACAAGCTCTGTCTGGTGTTAGAGGGCACGCCTCAGTTTTAAATGATGTCATGAAATCTTGCTATATCTTTTTATGAATTAGAAGAAAAGAAATCCAGGAAATGTGCAACATACTCCTATGAAAGTACTGTCCCCTCCCAATTTTTTAAAAGTATCTTTGAAACTGGTTGCACTATGTGAAATACAGGTTATTGAAAACTCTATTTCCATGTAAAACATGTCCATGTGTAAGATACAATTTCTGCTGTAAAACAATAACATAATTGTTGTCATGTAAACCATAATTATTCTAAAAACTTTACTTATCAACTAAAGTGTGTGTCTTGGTTTTATTTCTTCAGGAATGCTATTATTTTCTCTCACTTCAGGACAAGCTCTGTATAGAGCGGTATTTATTAATTAAATAATTATATAACAGTTGTGAAGAACAGGTTCTGTCATGGAGTCCTGTATCAGTTCCATAGAGCGAGGATGAATCTTTGTATCTGCCATTATAGCATCTGACACACCATGGGCATCGCCATTGAGGCTATCTCCATTTTAAAGTAATACATTTTCTTCTTCACGATTGGCTGATCCTTCCTGAAGACCCGGTTGGACATGACTCCAACCAGGTATTCAGAAGGGATCAGCCAATGAAGTTGGAAGTCCCACCCAGTTGACTACATTAAAATGGTGGAAGCCCTCAATGGCACTGCCCATGCTAAAATTGCCTTTTGGCCACTAGAAACTTCTATCGTTCTCCATGGTCAGTTCTCTATTAATGACATTACTATCTGCAAAGTTTGATTGTGTCACATGCTGGTTTATACTGCGCACGCCCGAAGCACCCCAATCTGTCAGTCGACTCTGAAGTTTGGGTCGTGAGCATGAATATCAATGCATCCTTTTCATAAACAATAGTTTGTTTTACGATCATTGTATCTCAAAAACCATGAGTACCCTTCCAAGTCCTTCTCCAAGGCGCTGGTTCAAAGCGATGCGGAGGTAAGTGCATTAAAACTAGTCAGACGCATCGATAGTTGCTGTCAAAATTCACTTTAATTACTTTGGTAGTAATAACAATCTGTAATGTTTTATTGATTTACTTTTGTTACTCCAGCTCAAGGAATATTGTTCAACTTTGTTCATCTTTGAGATCAATATTACTTTCAGGAAGTAAAGGAGACCAGATCGAACAACTTGAATTTCTTTATATATCAATCGCAACTTTGACTGATTTACTTATTCATTGCCTGATTTGGAGTCCTTTCCCTCTGATACTGGGGGTTTAAAGGTATGCTTACCGCCCAGGGGCTGACCTCTGTTTAGTACAAACTTTTCAGCAGGCTTATATCTGTACGTCTGTTCGAGAGGTAAACATTCTACAGCATTAGTGGGAAAGCAAGAGCATGCTATGCATGCAAGAGGAAAGGTCGCCTAACATGCAGAAGGTGTACTGAATTATTATGATTTGTTATGGACTACTACAGTAACTACAGCACTTGTTTGGTTTACACATAAGAATACACTGGCTTTTGTCTATGTGTTGCAGGACCAGGCTGGGGGAGCTCTGCATGAAGACTTATCTTTTAGAATGTGTGGAGGGTGAATGGGCAACGGGGTATGGTAGTAGGTGCCAGAGGCACCGGGTTGTGTCAAGAACTGCAACGCTGCTGGGTTTTCCACACTCTACAGTTTCCCGTGTGTATCAAGAATGGTCCACCACCCAAAGGACATCCAGCCGACTTGACACAATTGTGGGACGCATTGGAGTCAACATGGGACAGCATCCCTGTGGAACGCTTTCGACACCTTGTAGAGTCCATGCCCCAACGAATTGAGGCTGTTCTGAGGGCAAAAGGGGGTGCAACTCAATATTAGGAAGGTGTTCTTAACGTTTTGTACCCTCAGTGTGTACCTATATGTATGTACACTACACGGCCAAAGGTATGTGGACACCCCTTCAAATTAGTGTATTTGGCTATTTCAGTCACACGTTGCTGACAGGTGTATAAAATCGAGCACACAGCCATGCAATCTCCATAGACAAACATTGGCAGTAGAATGGCCCATACTCAAGAGCTCTGTGACTTTCAACATGGCACCGTCATAGGAGGCCACCTTTACAACAAGTCAGTTCGTCAAATGTTTGCCCTGCTAGAGCTGCCCCGGTCAACTGTAAGTGCTGTTATTGTGAAGTGGAAACGTCTAGGAGCAACAACGGCTCAGCCGCGAAGTGGTAGGCCACACAAGCTCACAGAACGGGACGGACGAGTGCTTTAGCGCGTAAAAATCGTCTGTCCTCCGTTGCAACACTCAATACCGAGCAACGTCCGCACAATAACTGTTCATCGGGAGCTTCAGGAAATGGGTTTCCATGGCCGAGCAGCCGCACACAAGCCTAAGATCACCATGCGCATTGCCATGCGTTGGCTGGAGTGGTGTAAAGCTTGCTGCCATTGGACTCTGGAGCAGTGGAAACGCGTTCTCTGGAGTGATGAATGACGCTTCACCATCTGGCAGTCCAACGGACTAATCTGGGTTTGGCGGATGTCAGGAGAACGCTACCTGCCCGAATGCATAGTGCCAACTGTAGAGTTTGGTGGAGGAGTAATGGTCTGGGACTGTTTTTCATGGTTCGGACTAGTACCCTTAGTTCCAGTGAAGAGAAATCTTAATGCTACAGCATACAATGAATGACATTCTACACGATTCTGTGCTTCCAACTTTGTGGCAACAGTTTGGGGAAGGCCCTTTCATGTTTCAGCATGACAATACCCCCGTGCACAAAGCGAGGTCCATACAGAAGTGGTTTGTCGAGATCGGTGTGGAAGAACTTGATTGGCCTGCACAGAGCCCTGAACACCTTTGGGATGAATTGGAATTCCGACTGCGAGCCAGGCCTAATCGCCCAACATCAGTGCCCGACCTCACTAATGCTCTTGTGGCTGAATGGAAGCAAGTCACCGCAGCAATGTTCCAACATGTAGTGGAAATCCTTCCCAGAAAAGTGGAGGCTGTTATAGCAGCAAAGGGGGGACCAACTCCATATTAATGCCCATGATTTTGGAATTAGATGTTCAACGAGCAGGTGTCATAATACTTTTGGTCATGTGGTGTATTGTTATAAAATATGAAAGGCTTATTCATTCACATTTTTTAAAATCATATTTGTATATGTTTTATTATTTTGTGTATTAGATCATATGGGTAGATTTTTTTTATTTTCTTCTAAAGACATACGTAAATAAACAATTCCAGGTCATAGCTTTCTAGAGGGGAAACACTACATTAATAAAATATTGCCGTCTTGCTAGATTGCCGTCTTGCTAGCGGCCGCTTGTTCCTAGAAAAGGCATTGATTATACACATACTATACGCTGCTCCAATGACAGGGTCCTGCAGAGCCTGATGGTGGTCCTGCCTTTTCGGGGCGTAGGTAGGTTCTAGAACAGTCTGGGTCAGATCGCTGCCTCGGGTCTTCATCTCATCTCAGTGCGGAGACATGGGTCATGTTCAGTAAGGCAAAATGTTTTTGCAGCAGAAAACAAAAATCTTATTGGACAACCCTGGACTTGGGATCTGCTCTTCCATAATAAGGTCTGGTAAGCAGCACCATAGTACATTAATAAATATATAATATAAAATATATATTGTATTGTCACATACACCGGATAGGTGCAGTGAAATGTGTTTTACAGGGTCAGCCATAGTAGTACAGTGACCCTGGAGCAAATTAGGGTTAAGTGCAATAATCCTCCATCTTTTTTAACTCCACTTGACAGGTGCCAGTAGAATGAGTTCCTACCATGGGCGCAATAGCTTTGATACCTTCTCACACAGGAAATCATGCCTGCTCAGAAGCATGTGCATCGAGTGTGTCACCTACCTGTGTTACCTGCCATATGAGGACCACAATCTGTCTCTTATGACCTGGGCCAGTAGCATTTCCCAGAAGAGCCAGGGCTGGTGCCAGATACTGTGACCGTGTGTGAATTGGAAGACGGCGCCCTTTTCACAATACTGAGCCGGACTGGGCTGAGCTGTACAAAGCGATGTTGGAAAGCCCTGTGTGAAATGACATCTGAACCTACAATACAGTTCTGAGAACCAGCTGTGATAGGTCTTCAATATGACATTCAGCACTTTACGTTTGAGATGTAGAACAATGTGGTAATGTGCTGACATTTTTATTTATTTACTGCAGCATCAGATCATAGCATTTCTACAAATATATAGGTTTATTATCATTCAATATGGAGTCTCATCTAAAGTTTTCATTAGAAATGTGTCCTTTCTGACGCTGGGTGATAGATAAAAGCTAGTCATCCAGTTCTCTCTGGAATACTTGATAAAGAAATCGTATTGAAAGCTTCTTGTGATACAACCTGTGCCATTAAGTACACCAATGTACAATGTGTGCTTCATATCCACAATACAGGATTATAACTTGTGCGCTTCATTACAAAAAGAAAGTTAATTCTATTATTACCATTCTATTATCCTGTTAAAAAATGGTTGTTGCATCAATTTAAAAAGTGTACCACAGGTACTTTTTTCCTCATGACATTAAAAGTAAAGTGTCAGCACGTTTAGATTTTGCCTCCAGCAAAGTCGAACTTGGATTCGAGTCTTTATGTGAAATCTAGGAAAAGTTCCATCATGAGATACAGTATTTATTTAAACTTGGATCCATTGAACGGTCTTTCACATAAACCAATGCCGTTGACTGATTAATTAAACCTGGAAGCCGAACAAAGGTTGTTCCACAAAGGTCCCCGGTTTGTTCTTTCATGTGTAGACGTGTGTCACTCAGGTCTTTTGTAGATTGTCTCCTCGTTGCCTTCTTTCATGGCTGTGTATCTGGCCACTGTGAACAGGTAGTCGCTCAATCTATGGGAAGACGTGAGGTAAATGTTTATCAGCAAGAGTACACTCCTTTCTTAAAAACGCATGATAATACATCTGCACATTTATACAAGGAACATACCTGTTCAAATATTTGGCAACATCAGGATCGGCCTCACCTGACCGTACAATAGGGGAAACGCTGGAAACATAAGACAAGTGTTATGGCTAATATGGCTGTTTCTGTGGCTATGTTCAGGATCACAATGTTTTACCGTGGTGGGTCTAAACAACCTTATGATTCGTTGGAACTGACCTGCGTTCTGCTCGGCGACACACTGTCCGTGCTATGTGGAGGGCCGCACTGCTCTTTCCTCCAGACTATGTAACCAGACAGAGAAGTTAAGATAAAACCAATATGCATAGACAATGTCTTCACCCACAAAGGGACCTTATAAATAACACCACTACATACAGTGCATTCGGAAAGTATTCAGACCCCTTGGCTTTTTCCACATTTTGTTACGTTGCAGCCTTATTCTAAAATTGATTAAATTGTTTCCCTCATCCATCTATACACAATACTCCATAATGACAAAGCAAAAAACAGTTTTTCGAAATGTTTGCAAATGTATTAAAATCAAAAAACGAATACCTTATTTACATAAGTGTTGAGACCCTTTGCTATGAGACTCGAAATTGAGCTCAGGTGCATCCTGTTTCCATTGATCATCCTTGAGATGTTTCTACAACTTGATTGGAGTCCACCTGTGGTAAACCCAATTGATTGAACATGATTTGGAAAGGCACACACCTGTCTACAGTGGGGAGAACAAGTATTTGATACACTGCCGATTTTGCAGGTTTTCCTACTTACAAAGCATGTAGAGGTCTGTCATTTTTATTATAGGTACTCTTCAACTGTGAGAGACGGAATCTAAAAATCCAGAAAATCACATTGTATGATTTTTAAGTAATTAATTTGCATTTTATTGCATGACATAACTATTTGATACATCAGAAAAGCAGAACTTAATATTTGGTACAGAAACCTTTGTTTGCAATTACAGAGATCATATGTTTCCTGTAGGTCTTGACCAGGTTTGCACACACTGCAGCAGGGATTTTGGCCCACTCCTCCATACAGACCTTCTCCAGATCCTTCAGGTTTCGGGGTTGTCGCTGGACAATACGGACTTTCAGCTCCCTCCAAAGATTTTCTATTGGGTTCAGGTCTGGAGACTGGCTAGGCCACTCCAGGACCTTGAGATGCTTCTTACGGAGCCACTCCTTAGTTGCCCTGGCTGTGTGTTTCGGGTCATTGTCATGCTGGAAGACCAAGCCACGACCCATCTTCAATGCTCTTACTGAGGGAAGGAGGTTGTTGGCCAAGATCTCGCGATACATGGCCCCATCCATCCTCCCCTCAATACGGTGCAGTCGTCCTGTCCCCTTTGCAGAAAAGCATCCCCAAAGAATGATGTTTCCACCTCCATGCTTCACGGTTGGGATGGTGTTCTTGGGGTTGTACTCATCCTTCTTCTTCCTCCAAACACGGCGAGTGGAGTTTAGACCAAAAAGCTATATTTTTGTCTCATCAGACCACATGACCTTCTCCCATTCCTCCTCTGGATCATCCAGATGGTCATTGGCAAACTTCAGACGGGCCTGGACATGTGCTGGCTTGAGCAGGGGGACCTTGCGTGCGCTGCAGGATTTTAATCCATGACGGCGTAGTGTGTTACTAATGGTTTTCTTTGAGACTGTGGTCCCAGCTCTCTTCAGGTCATTGACAAGGTCCTGCCGTGTAGTTCTGGGCTGATCCCTCACCTTCCTCATGATCATTGATGCCCCACGAGGTGAGATCTTGCATGGAGCCCCAGACCGAGGGTGATTGACCGTCATCTTGAACTTCTTCCATTTTCTAATAATTGCTCCAACAGTTGTTGCCTTCTCACCAAGCTGCTTGCCTATTGTCCTGTAGCCCATCCCAGCCTTGTGCAGGTCTACAATTTTATCCCTGATGTCCTTACACAGCTCTCTGGTCTTGGCCATTGTGGAGAGATTGGAGTCTGTTTGATTGAGTGTGTGGACAGGTGTCTTTTATACAGGTAACGAGTTCAAACAGGTGCAGTTAATACAGGTAATGAGTGGAGAACAGGAGGGCTTCTAAAAGAAAAACTAACAGGTCTGTGAGAGCCGGAATTCTTACTGGTTGGTAGGTGATCAAATACTTATGTCATGTAATAAAATGCAAATGAATTACTTAAAAATCATACAATGTGATTTTCGTTTTAGATTCCGTCTCTCACAGTTGAAGTGTACCTATGACAAAAATTACAGACCTCTACATGCTTTGTAAGTAGGAAAACCTGCAAAATCGGCAGTGTATCAAATACTTGTTCTCCCCACTGTATATAAGGTCCCACAGTTGACAGTGCATCTCAAAGCATAAGTCATGAGGTCTAAGTAATTGTCTGTAGAGCTCCGAGACAGGATTATGTTGAGGCACAGATCTGGGGAAGGGTACAAAAACATTTCTACAGCATTGAAGGTCCCCAAGAACACAATGGCCTCCGTCATTCTTAAATGGAAGAAGTTTGGAACCACCAAGACTCTTCCTAGAGCTGGCCGCCAGGCCAAACTGAGCAATCGGGGGAGAAGGGCCTTGGTCAGGGAGGTGACCAAGAACCCAATGGTCACTCTGACAGAGCTCCAGAGTTCCTCTGTGGAGATGGAAGAACCTTCCAGAAGGACAACCATCTCTGCAGCATGCCACCAATCAGGCCTTTATGGTAGTGTGGCCAGACGGAAGCCACTCCTCAGTAAAAGGCACATGACAGCCCGCTTGGAGTTTGCCAAAAGACACCTAAAGGACTCAGACCATGAGAAACAAGATTATCTGGTCTGATGAAACCAAGATTTAACTCTTTGGCCTGAATGCCAAGCGTCACGTCTGGAGGAAACCTGGCATCATCCCTACGGTGAAGCATGGTGGTGGCAGCATCATGCTGTGGGGATGTTTTTCAGTGGCACGGACTGGAAGACTAGTCAGGAGAGGGAAAGATGAACGGAGCAAAGTACAGAGTAATCCTTGATGAAAACCTACTCCAGAGCGCTCAGGACCTCAGACTGGGGCGAAGGTTCACATTGCAACAGGACAACGACCCTAAGCACACAACCAAGACAACGCAGGACTGGCTTCGGGACAAGTCTCTGAATGTCCTTGAGTGGCCCAGCCAGAGCCCAGACTTGAACCCTAACTAACATCTTTGGAGAGACCTAAAAATAGTTGCGCAGCGACGCTCCCCATCCAACCTGACAGATGAGCTTGAGAGGATCTGCAAAGAAGAATGGGAGAAACTCCCCAAATACAGGTGTGCCAAGCTTTGTGTCATACCAAAGAAGACTCAAGGCTGTAATCGCTGCCAAAGGTGCTTCAACAAAGTACTGAGTAAAGGGTCTGAATACTTATGTAAATGTGTTATTTCCGTCTTTAGTTTTTTATACATTTGCCAAAATTTCTAAAAAACTGTTTTTGCTTTGTCATTATGGGGTTTTGCGTGTAGATTGATGAGGGAAAATAATAATTTAATCCATTTTAGAATAAGGCTGTAACGTAACAATGTGGAAAAAGTCAAGGGGTCTGAATACTTTCCGAATGCACTGTAGTACAAGTCCATACACATGCATTGAGTTGCTTTACACATGGATTCACATATACAATTACAGTACCTCATCTGCCTCATGCTGTTTTACCTTGAAAGTATTGTTAGCTCATGTATTTGGAATATGAAACTGTAAGCCTTTCTCAAAATTCCACATCACATTATAAATAAAAGTTCAGTTTTCTAAAAGGTTCATCCAGTGGGTGAGTGCTTACAGGTAATATGAAGTTTGTCAGTGGTGGTAGCTTCTCTGTGAACTCATCAATCCAGATTTCCAGGTCTGCCACTGGTTGGGAACTGAACTTTGTTTTCTCTGTTGGCAAGAGTGAGAGAGAGTATAAGGAGAATGAGAAGACCACTGACTGGGGTAAGCTGTGTGGAATGATTCTTCAAAATGATTTACAGAAAGCCATTTACTAATATGAATTTCTCTTGCAGATGACCGAGGTGTGGCAATGTTGGATCCCACATCTTGTAATACACACTGAATCTGTGGGATCAGAAGGGTAAACATTGAGTAAAAGATAACATGTTTATCATTACTCTCCCAAAAAGAAATGAAAAAGTTCAAACTCAGACCTTGTCTAGCTGATCTGTGAATGTATGGCCTTTGTCGATACAAAACTCTCTGGCCAAGCTGTAGAAGACAACACAAGACAGTTAATAAATTCAGTCAGGGGAAACAAAGCATTATACCTAATAGATGGAATGGACATCACATTACCCTATTGCTGATGACAATTCATCTGTTGTTCCCAATGCTTCAAACACATGATCTTCCTTGGGTCTTCTCTCTCCAGTGTAAGTGCTAGAGAAACCTTTGGCAATGACAGGAAGATGATAAGCAAAGCGTTCTTCGTTGAAATGACCATATGATGTGCAATGACTTGCTTGCATATTCACCTTTATCACCAGTTTTGGTGTATATTTTGGGGATCCTGCTTTCTCCATCAGTTTTGGAGGCATAACTTTCCAGGAGAAAAAGATAATCAAGAGCTTTATGCTAGCTTGGCAATCACTGCAGGCAAGATAATTTCAGCTGTCTGTCTGTAGGCAACATTATTGGCTAGCATAGCTAGCTGTCATCTACAATAATTTCAGGTGTGTTTCTTATTCATCCCATTCTCTTCCACTACCTGTGTGACTAGTACTACATGTGAAGCAGAGGAGGCTGATGGGAGGAGCTATTGGAGGACTGACTCATTGTAATGGCTCCACTGATGTGTAGCTAATTAGCTAGCTGTGTGTCAAATAACTGTGACACATCGCTAGCTAGCTACCAACCAAACAAGATATCATATTAGTATAAGAAGCAAGGTCCATACAGCTACCTTCTTTCTGATCCAAATGATGTCTTTGTCCAATTCACAGCTAAACATTTGCCAGTCCTTGCTAGGATAGAACGTAGGTGAGATGGTTTGGTAATCATTGAAGCCATGTTTACGTAAAATAAAAACGCGCGTTGTGCCTCTTGTTTATCGGTGGTATCCGTATGTGAGTGGGTTGGACATCTTATCGCACGACCAATGGCACGAAGGAGAGAGTAGGATGTTGATTGGCTAGCAAAATATCTGTACGTCTCACCTCTAGCGCTGATTGGACATGAAGCAGAGATATGGCCCGCTGGCTGCGTGCGTTGTGTTGACAGTTAACTGTGGCATGATGTTTCCAAGTTTATTATGGTTGCTAGCTATTTAAGTGGCGACAGCTTCATAATGACGTTTTATCCCTTTTAAAAATACATTGGGATTTTGTATAGACGACCCCTCATCATTCGGAGTGTTTGAGGTATTAATAATAATAGCTACAGAACGTTCTCCTGGCGAATTAACTGGAAGCTAGCTTGCTATCAGAATGCAAATCAAGGAATGTATAATGTCTGCACCTGTGAAAGCTATCCTCCACGGAGAACACGCTTTCGTGCATGGCAACAGTAACGTTTGAGCTCTAGTTACAGTATCATCAGTGGACCACCTAGCTAGGGCCTGCCTTATTCCACACTTTGTTGTGTTACAGCCTGAATTCAAAATGGATTCAATATAATTTCTCACCCATCTACACACAATACCCCAAAATGACAAAGTGAAAACATGTTTAGACATTTGTGCAAATTTATTGAGAATGAATTACAGAAATATCATTTACATAAGTAGTCACACCCCTGAGTCAATTCTTTCTAGAAGCACCTTTGGCGGCGATTACAGCTTTGAGTCGTCTTGAGCATGTCTGTATCAGCTTTGCACATCTGGATATGGGGATTTTCTCCCATTCTTCCTTGCACATTTCCTCAAGCTCTGTTAAGATAGATGGGGAGCGGCGGTGAACCGCAATCTTGAAGTCTTTCCACAGATTTTCAGTGGGATTCAAGTCTGGGCTTTGGCTGGGCCACTCAAGGACTTAAACATTCTTGTTCTGAAGCCATTCCAGCGTTGCTTTGGCTGTATGCTTGGGGTCATTGCCCTGTTGGAATGTACATATTTGCCCCAGGCTAAGGTCGTTTGCACTCAGAAGCAGTTTCTCATCAAGGATTTGTCTGTATTTGGCTCCAGACATTGTTCCCTCTATCCTCCCAGTCCATACCACTGAAAAGCATCCCCATAGCATGACGCTGCCCCCACCATGCTTTACAGTAGGGATGGCGTTAGATGGGCTTTGCATTCAGGCCAAAGAGTTACAAAGAGTTTTGTCTCATCAGACCAGAATATTTTACCTTATGCTCTGTCTTTCACATACCTTTTTGTAAACTCCAGGCGTGCTGTCATGTGGCTTTTTCTCAGGAGTGGCTTCTGGCTGACCACTCTCCCCTAAATCCCAGATTGGTGAAGTGCTGTAGAGACTGTTGTCCTTCAGTCAGATTCTCCCATCTCAGCCATGGAACTCTGTAGTTTTGTCAGTGTTCATTGGGTTCTTGGTCACCTACCTGACCAAGGTCCTTCTTGCCCGGTTCAGTTTGGTCGGATGGCCAGCTCTAGGCAGAGTCTGGGTAGTGACATATTTTTTCAATTTCCCAATGATGCAGACCACTGTGCTCTTGGAAATGTTCAACACTCTAGAAATTGTTGTATACCCTTCCCCAGATATATGACTCATCACAATTCTAAGTTGGATCCGTTCCAAAATGGACCTGGGGCTTTCCCACCCATAGCCGATATGCATAAATAAATACATTTAATATAGAGACCCGTTCCGAACGGACCCGAGGACAACTAGACCCATTCTGTATAGACCTGGTCGGATCCAGACCCGGTCCGATCTGATCCGAATGAGGGAAGCAGCAGAAAATAATTGTTTTTAATTAACGGGAGCAGATAGAGCGCGAGAGGAGGGAAAGAGGTGCCGCTCTAGCAGGCAGGGAGGGGCCGTACTGTGAGCGAGTGACACGGGGAGGAAGAAGCGAGAGATGAGACAGCAACCAACCAAGCTGACTCGCGCTATAGTAGACTAATCGCTACCATAGCTAGATTATTTTTCATCGTATGATTACGTAGTATCTGTCTCGACTGCATCAAACCGGGAGAAGTTAGCTAGGTAGGCTAACCGAGGCTGCAGTGCATTCACTTTCTAATTCTAGAGTTACAAATAACAACTCCATTCAGAATATTAACTAGCAGCCTACCTGTTGGTTCATGGTCGTTGTAGCCTATCCTTCTCCTTTAACTTTACATTTCGTCAATTACATTCCATCTCCGTCTGTGACTAAAAGATGCATATCTGTATTCCCATTTGTGAAATCAATAGATTAGGATCTAATGAATTTATATACATTTACTGATTTCCTCATATGAACTGTAACTCAGTAAAATCAATTAAGTTGTTGCATGTTGCGTTTTATTTTTGTTCAGTATAAATGATGACTATTGTGTTGTTATGTAGTTTGTTAAAAACAATTCACTAATGCATACATGGCTTTCTCAGAAAAATTATAATAATAATGAACTCAAAAGATGCCCAACAGAGCCAGAGCAGTAGCTGAATTTCTGTCTGGATTACATTTACATTTAAGTCATTTAGCAGACGCTCTTATCCAGAGCGACTTACAGTTTAGTGAGTGCATACATTTTTCATACTGGCCCCCCGTGGGAATCAAACCCGCAAGCACCATGCTCTACCAACTGAGCTACAAGTGCCATTCTGTGACTTTGGCTAATATGTGTTATTATTTTTGCCTTGGTATCGTTTTTTTATCGAGTGTCGTGATACTAAACCTTAACCTGGTATCGAAGTCAAAATTCTGGTATCCTGACAGTACAGTAAAGAAAAGTACAGTAGAGCACAGTAGACTACAGTAAAGAAAAGTAGAGTATAGTCCTGTACAATAAAGTTCAGTACAGTACATAGTGAAGTGCACATGTGCAATAACCTAATTAGCCTTTGCACTCCATCTACACAGCGCGATTTTTTACAACTTTTGCAAAGGGTAAATTCTACAAAACTTAGTGCACTCTGTTCATAACATATTCTAGTTTTGTGAACAGAACTGTATTGAGAGCAAATGTTTAATCGATAAGAAAATGTGCAGAATGTCGGACAAAATCCATCTCGTTTCATCTTCTCCCCCTGCCCGCCAGTGGGTTTCCTCTCACTACCATATTTGTTAGTGAGTGGAAACGCCAAGCGGATGCTTCACATTTATACATCCCAGTGAAATATCTGTCTCATTGTTCAATCTGTGGTAGGGATGTGACAAGTGTACCATTTTTCTTAATGTTTAAACATCCATTTTTTTATAGTTTAAACCATAAGAAAAATCATAAAATGACATGAATTCAGATATGGTCCTGCCAATGTGAGTAAGACTTTTAAGCAGGTCAACATTCTCAAGGCCGCAGGGCCAGACGGATTACCAGGACGTGTACTCCGAGCATGTGCTGACCAACTGGCAAGTGTCTTCACTGACATTTTCAACATATCCCTGACTGAGTCTGTAATACCAACATGTTTCAAGCAGACTACCATAGTCCCCGTGCCCAAGGACACTAAGATAACCTGCCTAAATGACTACCGACCCGTAGCACTGACGTCTGTTGCCATGAAGTGCTTTGAAAGGCTGGTCATGGCTCACATCAACACCATTATCCCAGAAACCCTAGACCCACTCCAATTTGCATACCGCCTCAACAGATCCACAGATGATGCAATCTCTATTGCACTCCACACTGCCCTTTCCCACCTGGACAAGAGGAACACCTATGTGAGAATGCTATTCATTGACTACAGCTCAGAATTCAACACCATAGTGCCCTCAAAGCTCATCACTAATCTAAGGATCCTGGGACTAACACCTCCCTCTGCAACTGGATAACTGGACTTCCTGACGGGCCGCCCCCAGGTGGTAAGGGTAGGTAACAACACATCTACCACACTGATCCTCAACACGGGGGCCCCTCAGGGGTGCGTGCTCAGTCCCCTCCTGTACTCCCTGTTCACCCATGACTGCATGGCCAGGCACGACTCCAACACCATCATTAAGTTTGCCGACAACACAACAGTGGTAGGCCTGATCACCGACAACGATGAGACAGCCTATAGGGAGGAGGTCAGAGACCTGGCCGTGTGGTGCCAGGATAACAACCTCTCCCTCAACGTGACCAAGACAAAGGAGATGATTGTGGACTACAGGGGAGAAAAAAATTATAATTGACGAGTGGAACAGGTTGAGAGCTTCAAGTTCCTTGGCGTCCACATCACCAACGAACTATCATGGTCCAAACACACCAAGACAGTCGTTAAGAGGGCACGACAAAGCCTATTCCCCCTCAGGAGACTGAAAAGATTTGGCATGTGTCCTCAGATTCTCAAGAAATTCTACAGCTGCACCATCGAGAGCATCCTGACTGGTTGCATCACCGCCTGGTATGGAAACTGCTCGGCCTCCGACCGCAAGGCACTACAGAGGGTAGTGCGTACGGCCCAGTACATCACTGGGGCCAAGCTTCCTGCCATCCAGGACCTCTATACCAGGCAGTGTCAGAGGAAGGCCCTCAAAATTGTCAAAGACTCCAGCCACCCTAGTCATAGACTGTGGCAAGCAGTACCGGAGTGCCAAGTCTAGGTCCAAAAGACTTCTCAACAGCTTCTACCCCCAAGCCATAAGACTCCTGAACAGCTAATCATGGCTACCCAGACTATTTGCACTGCCCTTCCACCCCCACCCCCCACCCCATCTTTTTACACTGCTGCTACTCTGTTATTATTTATGCATAGTCACTTTAACTCTACCCACATGTACATATTACTTCAACTACCTCAACTAGCCGGTGCCCCCGCACATTGACTCTGCACCGGTACCCCCCTGTATATATAGCCTCCCTACTGTTATTTTATTTTACTTCTGCTCTTTTTTTCTCAACACTTTTTTGTTGTTGTTTTATTGTACTTTTTTATATAAAAATAAATGCACTGTTGGTTAAGGGCTGAAAGTAAGCGTTTCACTGTAATGTCTGCACCTGTTGTTTTCGGCGCATGTGGCCAATAAAATTTGATTTCATTTGAATGACCGCTAGGTGGCAATGCAGTTCAATCTACCGAAGTCCTGGCTACCTACCAGACTGCACTCTTACTGCTGTCTCCCACCCACTCAGCAAATATGGTAGTTAATGCCGTTTTAGGTTTCCTGCTGTGTGCCTCTCCTCCATGTTCTCAGTTGTCAGTACATGGGACTATGTGATGTCTCGTTGCAGTGATGCATGACAGCGTGTTCATAGACAGCGTGTTCAATCTGTTGTTAACGCCACGTACGGTGTTTGAGAGCTCGCGCTTTGTACTCGCGCTTTGTACCGGGCCGTCACGTTTTTTCGGCATCTTGTAGTCTGGTTCTAGATATGCCAGTAGGGCTTTGAAGCCGTCATCCTCTACCATTGACAATGTCTGCATATCAATAGCAATAATTTCTGTAATCAGCACTGTGATTTTCTCACTCTTTTCTCGTCCCTTATTGCACTGCTGCCAGCAACGGGTTGGTAGACACGTTGACTCCCTTTCAGCATTGCATCGGTACTACCACTGTAGCTCAATTTCACCTCGTAAAGTTTACAGATTTCACCACCTTCTCATTTCACTTCTTAAAGTATTCCCATACAGGACTTCGCTGCTGTCGTTTCAGTGTCTCACTCTCTGCCATTTTTCCAAATGTTACCGACTATCCGTGGCAAATAATTTGAAAGATACATATCTTCTAACGTTACAGCATTGTTGCATTAGGTATTTGTTTAATTTGTATTTTTCCCTTTATGATGATGATCGGGACCTGTTAGTGGTAGGTTTGTGATAACTGCACTGTGATTTTAATTTTGTGAAAAAACAAAAACGATCGGTTAGGGATTTTCTCTAAACGTTAACGATCCAAATTTCGTTTAAACGTCACAGCCCTAGTACACAGTAAAGCCCACTAGAGTTGAGTACACTATACTGTACTTTACTACTGTACTTTACTACTCTACTGTACTGATCTATACTGTGCTGTCCAAACTTGTGAAACATATAGACGTCTATGATTGGTTAAAAATTTGTCCTTACCAACCACATTTGGTCTTGTTTGGTGGCAGAACTCATTAAACTAATACCCAAATATACAAAATAAGAATATTGCATATTTCTGCCTTTGTGTACCTATTTAGGATACATCCCCATGAAGAGCATGACTTTCATATCCATAATTATTCATTTCTGTGTAGTACAGATCAGGGACCCATGATGAAATTCTTTACCGCAATTCTGTTACCGGGTGAAAATCCAGTTCACTTATTGTAGTTCAATAACCAAAATAGTTTTTTTTCTAAGTCAAGGTGTCATATCATAGCTGACACCCAATTCTTTCTGCAGACATATTTGAATCTTAATTCGGAGCAGATATTTAAGAGTTTTTGTAAAATTGTCACAAAAAACGGAGGGAGATTTTACTGAAATTCTGTTACCAAAAGTTGCATCTGCGCAGTTCTTCTAGTAAATGTGCTTTTGTAAAATGTTCAGTGTAAATTGTTGAAAGTAGTCATTGTGCATAGATTTGTATGGTTTGTTAAACTTAGAAAACAATGGTTTTTAATTTAGCATAGGTTACATTTTAAGTGAACAACCTGAGTCTGAGCACAATTTTGTTACTGTGGAATTGCCCCCTGGCTAATACAACATCTTTATGCACTCATGTATTCATGAGAGTTGTTCATCATATGACCCCCAGTACTGACACAGACAGTCTATTCTATTCTATGTTTGCACTGAAAGAAGATTGGTTGTTGAAATGAAATTGATTTGACTGTAACGACAACAATAATTCAGAGGTCTGTTTTCTCCAACCCCTGCTAGGGGGCTCTGGCTGTGAGTTTGAACCTGCGCACATACCTACGGTTACAAGCCACATCCACCAGTAAAGTCTGCATCAATATCCCCAACATCAACACTTTCCTCAGCTGGGATGTGACCGAGTTGAAGCAGCTGCTTCCTCTCTGGCTGGAGGATTGAAATGTACTGTAGTGAATTTGAAGGGTAGCCCGTGTGGGATTTGAACCCTGGTTCCTGTGACTGTCAGTCCAACACCTTAGCCATTACACCAAGAGGCTTGTTGTATTAAGTTTGCTACACTACCCCTTGGAAAGGGCTATCCTTGTGTCCGTGCTATGGCACATAATGGCCTCCCAGCAGCTCCATTCCACTTCTGACAACAATGTAGGGAATTTGGGAGAGAGCCTGAACTGGACTTGAACCCCAAAACTATTGGCAAAGTTGTAAAACAACAGCTCAAAATATAATTGTGTTTGTTTTCTTTGATTTATTCTTCTATGGTAATGTTGTCTATTTTTGTAATTCTGCTTACAGCAGAGCTGACGAATGTGAATGAGCTTGATGCTGAGCTTGTCAGGAGGCTGCAAGACTTTGTTGGTGTATCAAATGGAACCTTGGATACTTGCAGCATGGCCATCTTAGCCTTCCTCTACATCTACCTCTCCGTCTTTGCTGGGTCAGGGTAAGATTGAAAATTGATAGAGGGAATTATATAGGAGTGTTAACATAGGGTAATACTAATCTTGGCACCCAAGAACCAAATCTCTAATGCCCTAATGAACATGACAGACCCCATGCTAGTGAGGAAGACTTGGGCAGCTGGGAGCTGGGCAGATGCTAAGGAGTAGGCCTAATCGGGGTTGACGTGGGCGGCGCTAGGCTAGCGTGTTTGAGAGAGGAGTGGACAGGCTCTGACAGGACGGACAGCCGCTAATTAGAGGCTGGCACTGGGCCAACGCTGCAGCCTTAACAAGTCTGGAAGTGTTTGTCCCTGGGGAGAGGAGCTCCACAATTAGTTTAGAGCATCCTCGTTTCCTGTCTTCCCAAAAGGAGCCTGACTGTCATGGACATTGACAGCGGAGCAAGTCTACTCAGCTCACACCCATGCACATATGTACACCACACTAGTCGTTCACAATGAGAAGGACTGCTGTGCCTAGGTCCTTTGGCCAGTTTGATTAAGATCACAGGAAGTGTGCTTTCTGGATATTTTTGCTGTATGAGCTGTTGCAAAGTATAAGGTTTTTGTGTGAGATGGTTGCCCAAAAGCTTCTTACAAACAGTAGCAGGTACAAAAAAATAGCACCGTTTTAAAGTGATTTCATGGAAAGTGTTTATTTATTGTATCTTTTTCACCCAAATTATATAGTTTTCCCCCTAGCCTATCTAAATAGGCTGAATAAAATCATACTACATTCCTATTCCTAGATATAAGCACATCTAAACTGAGAATGTTTGCAGTAATTGAATTTGGTTCATGGTTCTGTTCAATCTCAGGGAGATACCCAGCCTGACGGTGTCTGTGTGGTCAGAGTTGCCAACTGGAGCGGGTCTGGGGTCCAGTGCTGCCTACTCTGTGTGCCTGGCTGCAGCTCTGCTCTCTGCCAGTGGAACCATCCCTTCTCCACTGAGTGACCAGGAAAGCACAGCCAGGTAATGACTTCACAACAAATTGTCTACTAGATCTAATAACATTGCAACATTTAAATTGTTGTTGACCTGTCATCTTTCCACTCCCTCCTCTCTACATTCTCTTCCTCCGTTTCTGCTGCTAAAGCCACTTTCTACCACTCTAAATGTCAAGCCTCTGCCTCTAACCCTAGGAAGCTCTTTGCCACCTTCTCCTCCCTGCTGAATCCTCCTCCTCCTCCCCCTCCCTCCTCCCTCTCTGTGAATGACTTCGTCAATTTTGAAAAGAAGATCCTCATTTATTAAGTCAAATGACACCGCTGGTCCTGCTCGCACTGACCTACCCTATGCTTTGACTTCTTTCTCCCCTCTCTCTCCAGATGAAATCTTGCGACTTGTGACGGCCGGCCGCCCAACAACCTGCCCGCTTGAGCCTATCCCCTCCTCTCTTCTCCAGACCATTTCCGGAGACCTTTTCCCTTACCTCACCTCGCTCATCAACTCATCCTTGTCCGCTGGCTATGTCCCTTCCATCTTCAAAGAAGCGAGAGTTGCACCCCTCCTCAAAAAACCTACACTCGATCCCTCCAACAACTACAGACCAGTATCCCTTCTTTCTTTTCTCTCCAAAATTCTTGAGCGTGCCGTCTATAGCCAACTCTCCTGCTATCTCTCACAGAATGACCTTCTTGATCCAAACCAGTCAGGTTTCAAGACTGGTCATTCAACTGAGACTGCTCTTCTCTGTGTCACGGAGGCTCTCCGCACTGCTAAAGCTAACTCTCTCTCCTCTGCTCTCATCCTTCTAGACCTATTTGCTGCCTTTGATACTGTGAACCATCAGATCCTCCTCTCCACCCTCTCCGAGTTGGGCATCTCCGGCGCGGCTCACTCTTGGATTGCGTCCTACCTGACAGGTCGCTCCTACCAGGTGGCGTGGCGAGAATCTGTCGCCGCACCACGTTCTCTCACCACTGGTGTCCCCCAGGGCTCAGTTCTAGGCCCTCTCCTATTCTCTCTATACACCAAGTCACTTGGCTCTGTCATATCCTCACATGGTCTCTCCTATCATTGCTACGCAGACGACACACAATTAATCTTCTCCTTTCCCCCTTCTGATAACCAGGTGGCGAATCGCATCTCTGCATGTCTAGCAGACATATCAGTGTGGATGTCGGATCATCACCTCAAGCTGAACCTTGGCAAGACGGAGCTGCTCTTCCTCTCAGGGAAGGACTGCCCGCTCCATGATCTCGCCATCGCGGTTGACAACTTCATTGTGTCCTCCTCCCAGAGTGCAAAGAACCTTGGCGTGACCCTGGACAACACCCTGTCGTTCTCTGCTAACATCAAAGCGGTGACCCGATCCTGTAGGTTCATGCTCTACAACATTCGCATAGTACGACCCTACCTTACACAGGTAGCGGCACAGGTCCTAATCCAGGCACTTGTCATCTCCCGTCTGGATTACTGCAACTCGCTGTTGGCTGGGCTCCCTGCCTGTGCCATTAAACCACTACAACTCCTCCAGAACGCTGCAGCCCGTCTGGTGTTCAACCTTCCCAAGTTCTCTCACGTCACCCCACTCCTCCGCACACTCCACTGGCTTCCAGTTGAAGCTCGCATCTACTACAAGACCATGGTGCTTGCCTATGGAGCTGTGAGGGGAACGGCACCTCATTACCTTCAGGCTCTGATCAGTCCCTACACCCAAACGAGGACATTGCGTTCTTCCACCTCTGGCCTGCTGGTCCCCCTACCTCTGCGGAAGCACAGTTCCCGCTCAGCCCAGTCAAAACTGTTCACTGCTCTGGCACCCCAATGGTGGAACAAGCTCCCTCACGACGCCAGGACAGCGGAGTCACTGACCACCTTCCTGGAGACACTTGAAAGCCTACCTCTTTAAGGAATACCTGGGATAGTATAAAAGTAATCCTTCTACCCCCCCCCACAAAATAGATATATAAAAAAAATATATATATAATATATATATAATTATAATGGAAAATTTGTTTTTTTTTAAATAAAAAAATAACAAAAATAAAACAATAAAAAACATTTGTAAAGTGGTTGTCCCACTGGCTATCATAAGGTGAATGCACCAATTTGTAAGTCGCTCTGGATAAGAGCGTCTGCTAAATGACGTAAATGTAATGTAAATGTTGTTTATTGGAACAATTTGTCTTAGTCTGCATGCACTGTAGTTTATTTAGAGTACTTGCACCACTAGCAGAGTCCTGGGATATGTTATTCCACCTTCCAGACAGTCAGACAATGCATGGTTCTCTCACAGTAACTAGTATGTCCTAATATATTCTGCCCACAATGTGAATGATTTGCTTCCGTTTGGCCACAGTTTCCCCAGCATGAGTAATTCATCTGTAGTTTTAGGGTTATGAAAAATGGTACAACGTTTTTCCAGCAGAATTCTTGCCATTATGTTGAGTTAGTGTTAGTACAGTGGGTCCTACATATTGTTTTACAGTCATCTTCACAGATTTAGATAGTTTTCAGATCCCGATTTATCCTAAATGTATTGGGTACTGCCGCCACTGGAGGATTCTGAAAATCAGTTAGGACTTTGTTACTGATGTCCTCACATGTTAGTATGGGTGGGGCTGGGCTCATCACAAGCACAGAGTGAGGGACAGCAGGGCAATGCAGATAGGGCTTGAATGCCCAGTGTAAATCCTCATTGTAATCATCTCTCCTTGATTTCATTATGTTTCATTATGTTTCAACAGGTGGGGTGAGGTGGAGATGGAGCTGATCGACAGGTGGGCGTTTCAGGGTGAGAGGATCATCCATGGGAACCCGTCAGGGGTGGACAACGCTGTGGGGACATGGGGTAAGACCTGGATCCCTCTGCCTTGTGCACGCAACAGCACAGACACCACAGTACCATACAGCTTTGTGTTGTGATGTATGATACTATGAATGATGCAACTGTGTATGTGGACAATACAATGGAATGATATGATACAATCTGGCAACATTTGTTGTCTGCAAAACTCACAGTATTGTAGGGATTTATCTTGTTGAATGATCTCTGCGAGAAGGCAGACGTTATTTATGCGGATATTACAGGAAACAGAGGGGAAATGTGCTGCAGTAGTCCTTTGTGTGTTGCGAGGGCTGCGGTCAGAAAATGCTTGCTCTTTTGTGTTCTTTATTTTCATCTAATGCCCATTTCTTTCACTTTACCTTGACTCTTTTAGGTGGCATATTGAGATACCATTCTGGGAAGATAACACCCATAAGCAGGTATTGAACAGTGTTTAGCTTAACAAATCCCCTTTCCATTTAAGTGCAGTGAATATGCTCAATGGGCCTAATTTACATTGACAGATTTACAGACTGTGATAGCAGGCATCATTTTAAAGTAGTCTACTGGGGTTGGGAAGGGATCCCAGAATGTCATCCAGGTCAGTGGCTGGGATCAGCCAATGAATTATACACTTGAGCGAACATTCCAGCACGGCAGGTGGAATTAAATCCCCAAGTGAAGTTGAAATGGACTACTTTAGAATGAAGACGGCCCTCCATGGCGTTGCCCCTGCTGTCACAAAAGTGATCAATGGAAAAGATAGGCAGTGCTCGCTCTCTATGGACTCCACTCTACTATTGCCACTCATATGAGGGAAACAATAACAACACCTGAACAATTACAGGTGCACCATGTGGTATGATATTGCTAACTTGCCTTTTTTATTTTCCCATTTGCAGGGTCCCAATGTTAAGGATCCTACTCACAAACACCAAGGTCCCTCGCAGCACCAAGGTACTTGTTGCTGGAGTGAAGGACAAAATGAACAAGGTACTAAATGGCTGCCATCTTGTCTCCCCTGTGTTCACCTCCCCAGCCCTGTAATTAGTGTAATTAGGGCCCTGTGTAGCTCAGTTGGTAGAGCATGGCGCTTGCAACGCCAGGGTTGTGGGTTCGATTTCCACGGGGGGCCAGTATGAAAAATGTATGCACTCACTAACTGTAAGTCGCTCTGGATAAGAGCGTCTGCTAAATTACTCAAATGTAAATGTAATCGCCAGTGCTTTCATTTGTATGGGAAAGGCATTGGGTGCCTCTGGGTCATTCCATGTCATTTCAATCACTTTCTGACTGCACCCCTTTTGATTTGAACAAAACCTTCCAAACATGTTTGCCCCTGGTAGAAGTGGTCAGAAAGTGAATGCCCAAACATTCAGGAGATAGAGGTGCTCAAAGTTGACCCATTTTGCGTAAACTACCCTACCATGTGTTCATCACTGAAAAAGAGAAATGGTTGAGTTTGATATAATCTGAAAGTTTACAAACGGGGTTGTCAAACTATTTTATAATTTATTTCAAAAAATATTTGTAAAAAGTCTTTTTTGTACCTTTTTAAAATCAATTATCTAAAAACGTGATTTTTTTTCATGTTCATACCTGTTGTAGCTTAGACCCAATTTTACATCATCAGAGGTGTTTGGGATGTGTCCACCATTGGTTGAGACAGCATGCTCTTGAATACAGCGTGGGTGTCATGTTTTGACTGATTTAATTAACAAAAAAGCCAATACAATTTAAATGTCTACTTTCAAATGGTACCACAAAGATGGTTGGAGGTCCATACATCAGAGAATGTTGACTCGAGTGGGAATATCCATTGTTTTAAAATTAACTGTCAATCTTCCACTGGAAACCTATTGAAATCATAGAAATATAGATTATAGAATAGACTTTCCCATTCAAGTTGACTTTCGACGGTGGGTGGACTGGCGGCTATCTTTCTGGTAGTAATTGAAATGGAAATAGGTCCATTCTATGAATTCTGTTTCTATGACTGAAATGACACCCACCCTGTATTCAAGAGAATGCTGTGTCTCAACTGATGACAACACACATACATTTTATATTTAAAAAATTATGTAGAAATTCTAAAATTATTTCACAACCCTTTTTGTAAGCTTTCAAATGCTATCAAACTCAACCGTATATCTTTTCAGTGGGAGAGCAATGTTTTCACTCAGCACTGAGTGACTGGCTTATTGTGCCACTGCTGCTGTACAGTATCTACAGACTGTTTTAATGAATATGATCACTAGATGAGATGATATGAACATTTGCTGCTTTAGTCTGCACTGTTGACTTCCTTTAGTATATATAGTGTTGTTAAATTCCTTTACATTGAATTCCCAATTATTTGTAAAAAGTATTAATTCTATGTTTATTTGCTGTTCTCCCCCCAGTTTCCCTCTATTATAAAACCTGTACTGGAATCTGTGAATGCAGTCTCCTGCACCTGCGAGCAGACCTTATCAGAGATGGCCAGCGACACCCCCACACCCAGCACTACAATGTCCTGGAGGTGCGGTATGGAAACACATGCACACATGTTGCCTATGGACAGTGTGTTCTGGTGGTGCAGACACACTATCAGTGTGACACAGTGTAGGAATGATTCCCTTCCTCTTACACATGGTAAAGACTACAGCTGCATGAAAATACATAATATAGAACAAAATAGTATTTTCATGCAACAATAAAAACTACAGCTGCTATTCTGTCTCCTGTAGGAACTCATTGACATCAACCAGCACCACCTGAACGTGATGGGTGTAGGACACCCGCCCCTGGACACCCTGTGCCGGGTCACCCTGGCAAGAGGGCTACACAGCAAGCTGACTGGTGCCGGCGGAGGGGGCTGTGGCATCACCCTGCTTAGACCAGGTAATGTAGCTCACTATCTACTTACCTCCCTATCTGGCTTACAGTGGTCAAGTGGGGATGTTCCTATTTATTGTTACACGCATCGCCATCATCTTTGGTCCTCACCTTCATTTTGGGTTAGAGAGTTGCTGACGGCCCAGTTGCCATTTCTATTTGTAATGAATCGTGTGACCTTTTAAAAGTGCGAGATCTGTGAAATGACTTCTGCATGCTGATTGTATGGATTGTATTGATTGGACGGAGAGCCAAAATATGGGGGGGGGGTTCTTTCCTGCTTGGAAATCTCTACCATAGTCATCCTCATCTCTGTATTGTCAATCCCACGGCATAGAGAAGTGGGGCTATCTCAGTACGACAAGAGGATCCTGTTTGTCACTATCTTCCACAAAAACAAAACGGGCAGAGAACCTGTCTGAATCCACTGCCTTCTTTGTTTATGCCTGCAGCCTGTAACACATTGAATTTTAAATCAGCTAAAGATCTCCTAAATATATCCCCAACTGATGTTGATATGCTTTGTTGTACTAGCAAGCAAGTGTTGCACATTTTTGTGGTTTGAAGCTGTTTTCCAAAAAGTTTACTCAAGTGTCTGTTTTCCCTCCCCAGTGCTCTCAGATCAGCTTTGGGCTGAAAGGCTTTGATTTGAGGTAGAGCAGGGACGAGCATGCAGCAAAGTAACCTGCTATCCTCCTGCCTTGTTCAAATCCACCACTGTCTGGTGACGTGCTAAATATGTATCATTTCTTTGCTGATGAGCATTGTAATGTTTTTTTCTCCACAGAGATGTACTTTAGCTTACAGTTGGCTCTTCAGCTAAATAAATACTACTATTACTAATAATACAGTATGTGCTATTTTGCAGATGCTTTCATCCAAAGGGACTTACTGTACACAGTACAGACAGTGAGAGCATAAATTGTTTTGTATATTTGACACCTACGGGAATTGAACCCACACAACCATGGCATTGCTAGTGCCACGCTCTTCCCAACTTATGCCGGGCATACACTACACGATTTCACCACAAATTTGCCAAGTTGTTGCCATCCCATGCGAATTTTCATGATCAGGGTGAAACCCTATGAACTTGGACTAGGATCAGTACGTCGGGACTTGCGTAGTTTGAGCGGATCAAGGACTCACCGATGATGGCTTTTCTGTCCCGATAATTTTCTGACATGCCCGAAATGTTGTTGTGCATCCTGTAGTATGAGCAGTGCTACGACGCGATTAGACAAGGACTACTTCTAATAGCCAATGAGCACTCAGCATGTGAGACCAAAACAATGATGGCTAAGAGGAAAGCAACAACATGCAGGTTGTCACTAGTTACCACAGCCACAGTCAAAATTGTCTATATTGTATACATTTCTGTACATTTTTATTTTTATATTTTTGTCTTCATTTAACCCTTGGCCTACAATGAAATATTTTTAATTTTTAATTTTTAATCCCCATTAAAATCCATCTGTTTAAGCTAGAGATATGTGCATGGGCCGCGTCTCAATCCACCATATCCGCGGATATCGCCCTTCCGCATCTGCGGTGAAAGGTGGCAGAGCTAGAGTGGTGTTTGTCTCAGACCATGAATCATCCCGAAAATTGGTCTTCTCACGAAAACGTCTGTAGCGTCCGAAGGGTTTGGCCTGGAAACTATTAGGACCACTCTATTGAAAGCTGAGACTCTCACGAACACGATGTTCTCTGTTTTGCTCTAGAACCCCACAAGCCTCACAAGACTCGTCTGAAGTTGGTACAGGCTCTTCTGCCAACTTCTGTCTGTAGCTTCAGAACGGTTTGGGATACACACTAATATGACCCCTCTGTGGAAAGCTGAGACTCTCACGAACACAATGGTGTTCTCCCTAGGATGCTCACAAGACTCATCTGAAGGCCCCCAGTGCCAGTTTTTAAAAAAATATGGAAGTATATATGGAGATAGTTTAGTGCCTAAAATAAATTATAATAATAGTTTCTTGATCTTTCAGATATAGGACAGACACTTCAGAACAAACTCCCTTTTGATTTTTTTGGGGACTATCTGTTGTTCCATGTAGTGAATCTGTTATTCAATGCGTTTCTATTGGCTAATAGCAGTAATGCCAAATTCAATGTTTAATCCCCCAACATTTTTTATATACTTTTTTGATACCTTAAGGGATCTTAAAATTCAAAATCAAATGGCTAAAGGATCCTTGGTATGACCATCTTAAAACATTCCATATGTTAGCTTAGAACCCCCGCTCCCCTGGCTTAGACCGGTCGTAGACTCTAGAGGGTTAAGGTTAGGCATAATGTTAGCAGTGGTTAGGTTTCAAATAATATTTTAAGAAGAGACATTTTTTAAATAGACGGGGGTTAGCCATAATTATGACAGATTGGTGGAGCTGTGGAGAGAACGCAGCTGTCTTTTCAACATTAAACGTTTTCACCTCCAATTCCCTCTGTAGAATATAAGTAAAATTGTCCACGTCTGCCCAACCATTTGCAGATCTATCCATATCTCTTTTTGACGTTTCAGCACATAATAATGTGCACACTTATAAAGCAGCTCGCTGTTTGCGTGACGGCATTTTTTTCGTATGACAACCAAAAAACGTAGGGCAAGATCAACTAGGGGACCATTGTGTAATGTGAGCACCCACATCCTGGGGTTGAGGATGGATGGAATGAAAGATTTGGGACAAGGAAATCGGGAGATGTGGGCATGTCCAAGTTGTTAAGACTTTAGAAGCCCAGCATTAGCCACACATGACCACAGATATCCTGAGGCGGTTCAGGTTAAATGCCCTCCTCCAAAGTCAGTTTCTCAAAGCCCTGGTCATGCAAACATTTCCTTTGCTGCATGGAGAGGCTCTCCGCTCTCCCTTATTTGACACATTCACACCCTAAGTGTTTTAGCCCTAACCTGTGTTTTACACATTTTTAAATCCAGTTATTTGTTTTGTCCCATTATTTGGCACCCCTGGTGTGTGCCCTTCTGCTGTTTGCTAGAGAGGGCTTTGTGAGCTGCTCTCACAGCGGCCATCAGACACTCACCCTCCACCTCCTAGTGGAAGTGTCCCAGCACAGAGCTCTAGGGTGCGTCCAGGGTATAGGGTGCCATTTGAGTAGCAGACGTAGTCATTCTCAGAGATTAATTAGGTAAAAACCTCAGCAGATGTAAACAAATCCTCTAGCACAGTAGGCACGAACGGAGGGGTAAAAACGGAGGAGTTGTGTGTTTGAATGTAGCTCACTGTATGTGATTGTTTTGTTTGTTTTACTTTGTGATTTCTTCTGGTAGAAACGGAGTGCTTGGTGGTCCAGGACACTATCCAGGACTTGAGAGACTGTGGCTATGACTGCTGGGAGACCAGTATCGGTGCAGCAGGCGTGCAGCAGCACTCTCCCCTCGCTGTGAAAGAGGAGGTCCTGGAGGTTTTAGCACGTTACTGAGACCCACTGGCCATGGGTGTGTCCTTCCTATGGGTGAACAGGTGGCGCTTTGCTCCATGACTCTGCCCTACCAAGTCTTCTATTGTTAAAGCCTGACAACGACCAATAGAAGAGTTGGCTACAACACAATACAGTATGGGACATGTGTAAATGCTAATAGCGCTTCTCTAACGACCAACCGTCAAGACAGACTCTTTGTTTCAGGGGAGGACAATTGCTAATCACCCACTCATCATTTCTTTTTCTGCCATTTCATGAGGTCATGGAACTAAGATTGTAGGGGCACTAGACAGGTGATCACACCTCCCTTTGAAATAAGTGGTTTTCTAGTTTTCAGAAATGATTGTTTACAAATGTGGATTTAAACTGTTTTAGGTTTAGCATGAGCTTATCATGAAACTTCAAAAGAAGATGTTACAAAAAAGCAAGATAAACCCAGTGCATAGCATTGTGTCTAGGTGCTGGTTTTGGCAGGAACAACTAGTATTAAAAAATAAGTCAAAACCGCATCGAAAAAAGACAGGCGACCGACCTTGACTCTAGTGTGTTTTTGTTTTTAATATTTGCAGTGCATCAAACTCAAAGTTGGTCGCCTGTTTTTTTTCTTCCGTTTGGGAGATACCCTTGTTTTTGAATATCAATACCTTGGTTGACTTCTTGTTCGTCATTTCAAATTAGGGTGCTGTGAGCCATTTGTCCTATAGATGGAAGCAAAATGTAAGAATTGACTAACCTCTCATAACAGACTGAGCGAATCAGAGCGAAGAGATTGTCATTCAGTGTTTGCTTTAGGTGTCAATACAATGCCAATGCATTACTTGTTAAACAATCCTTTTAAAACTGAAAATAAACTGTGCATCATTTTCTGTGTCACATATAAGTGATGTGTGTATTATCTCGAAGGAGCTATTGCACTATTTTAAGTGAGCTATTGCACACTTGGCCTCCATCCAAGACTAGTTATAGTGAATTCATAGAATAAAAATGGAAACCACTTTCTCAAGAAGCATAGCAGGTAATTGTTTTCTCAATGTCCAAAGCGAAAATGTAATTCCTCCATATTTTTGGTGGTGAGAGACCATCTTTTGAAGACAGCTCCTCAAACTCTCCTTTCCAAGAGATGAGTATGAACTTGAAAATGACAGCCTTTCTCTGATTTTCTTTGGTCATCAAATATGTGTGACACATCATGCCACAGACCAAGAATTGCAAGGCCTTTAAAAAGAACTATTGGTAAGTAGGCTACTTCTCTGCCTTTCACATTGGTGTTCACAGTTGTAATATACACTCAGTGGCCAGTTTATTAGGTACTCCGTTCCAAGAAAATGGTTCGCTCCTACAGACATTGAGCCACGTGGCCGGCAGACAGGCATCGAGGCGTTCAGTTATTGTTTGAGTGTGTTAGAATGGGCAAAACGAGTGACCTAAGCGACTTTGAGCATGGTATGATCATCGGTGCCAGGCGCGCCGGTTCCAGTATCTCAGAAACGGCCGGCCTCCTGGGCTTTTCACGCACAACAGTGTCTAGGGTTTACCGAGAATGGTGCGACAAACAAAAAAAATCTGGTCAGCGGCAATTCAGTTGGCGAAAACAGCTCGTTGATGAGAGGTTGAAGGAGAATGGCAAGAATTGTGCAAGCTAACAGGCGGGCCACAAACAGTGCAGGATGGCATCTTGGAATGCACAACTCGTCGGTCCTTGTCATGGATGGGCAATTGCAGCAGACGACCACACCGGGTTCCACGCCTATCAGCAAAAAACAAGAAGAGGCTCCAGTGGGCACGAGATCACCAACACTGGACAATTGAGGAGTGGAAAAACCTTGCCTGGTCCGATGAATCCCGGTTCCTGTTGCTGACGGCAGAGTCAGGATTTGGCATAAGCAGCATTAGTCCATGGGTCCCATCCTGCCTGGTGTCAACGGTACAGGCTGGTGGTGTAATGTGGGGATTGTTTTCCTGGCACACGTTAGGTCCCTTGACATCATTTGAGTAATGTTTCCATGCCCGAACAAAGGGGGGTCCGACCCGGTACAAAATGTATGTACCTAATAAACTGGCCGCTGAGTGTATATGAACCATGATATGCTGGGATTTAAATAGATTTGTGATTTTTGTTTTTGTCATTGCTCTACACAAAATACTCTGTCAAAGTGAAAAGAACATTCTACAAATTAATAAAAAATAAATAACTAAAATGTAGTCGTCACATAAGTATTCACCTTCGTTTGGGCAAGCCTAAATTAGTTCAGGAGTCAAATTTGACTTCACAAATCACAAAGTTACATGGTCCCTCCGTCAAGTATAGAATTGAAAGTGCAGATTCAACTACAAAGACCAGGAAGCCTCATAAAGAAGGGCAGTGATTGGTAGATGGGCAACAATAGCAAATCTGACATTGAATATCACTTCAAGCATGGTCAAGTTAATAATTATGCTGTGGATGATTTATTAAACTACCCAGACAAATATACTGTTGTCCTTCTGAACTGAGCTGCATGACAGGAAGGAAACTGCTCAGGGATGTCACCATCGTCATTTTAAAACCGCTACGGAGTTCAATGGCTGTGATGGGAGAACTGACAATGGATCAACAACATTGTAGTGACTCCACAATAATGACCTAGAAGAAGCATAAATATACTGAATTCAAATTTATTCCAAAACAGGATGTATGCAATAAGGCACTAAAGTAATACTGAAAAAAGAAAAACACGGCAAAGGAGTACACTTTTGGCATAACTGCCTCCTTATTTTCAAGTATGGTAAAGACGGGGGAGTTTTTCAGGATAAAAGGAAAAGGGATGGATCTAAGCACAGGAAGAATCCTAGGGGAAAACCTGCTTTACACCAGACGTGGGAGAGGAATTCACCTTTCAGCAGGAAAATAACATACAACACAAGGCCAAATCTACACTGGAGTTGCTTACCAAGAAAACAGAATGTTCCTGAGTGGCCAAGTTACAGTTTCGATTTAAATCTGCTTGAAAATCTCTGGCAGGACTTGAAAATGGCTGTCTAGTCATGATCTCTTGACAGAGCTTGAAGAATGTTGAAAAGAATAATGGGCAAATATTGCACAATCCAGGTGTGTAAAGTTCTTAGAGACTAACCCAAGAAGACTACCAGCTGTAATCGCTGCCAAAGGTGAATTGACTTGTGGGTGATTTTTCATTCATCTTTAAAAAATGTTTTAAAAAATCTTCCACTTTGGCATTAAAGTGTTTGGTGTAAATCATTGACAAAAAAGTACAATTAAATTCATTTTAATCCCACTTTGTAACACAATAAAATGTGAAGAAATCCAAGGGAGGTTAATACTTATGATACCCACTGTAATTGTCATAGGGGAAAAGTGAATCTTGAATTGCTAAATGTATTGCAGTACATATGCATCCCATGTTTCTCGTGATGTCTTTTCAAAGGTAGGAAAGTAATTGGTCTTAGTTTGTTTTTGATCATTTTTAATGTTGAGTGAGAAAGGGGGTGTAGGACATGAGGAAGGGAAGGCTGGATCGGGAAGGCTTTTCAGGGAGCCTCTGGAATACTGTCCCTCTGTGGATCAACAGCTCTGTGGCGTGCAATGACTCACGCTTACATTTGTTCTGACACACACACCTTCAAATCATCCCCTAAGCATAACATACTTTTTTTCTGCCTATGCTGCATATACAGTAAAATATGGATTAGCCTAATATAGAAAACCTCTCATTTTCGAAAAGGTCAGTTGGGGATGTCTGAGTCTTGAATCTCCATTTTATTTTATTTTAAATGTCATGAAGATTGAGTAGTGTGGACCTGGCATTGTGTATGAATGAACAGCATTTGTCAGATTCCCCCACCACCACACCCCCCCCCTTTCCGCCTGTCGCCCCTTCCGTCCCCCTGAATTGTGTCATCTATATGTCAGGGCAGCCCCCGCCACTGCTCAGCACAGTCGCCCCTAACCCCCGCTGCAATTTAAGTACCACTGCGCTTTTCAATTGAAATGGCATTGACAAGGGGGGCCAAGAGGAAGAAAGCAGCCCAGTCACGCCCGTTTCATTTGAAGACCCTCTTTCTTATCGCTCTCTCTCCTCTCTCTTTTACCCCTGTGGCACAGATGTTTTTTTTTTATCAATGTCAGCGCACCGCTTCTTTCTGCTCTGATGAATAGATTCTAAGGAGGCCCTGACATTATTTCAGATAACAGAGGGAGCACGGAAAGGGGGTCAAGGATAGAGGGAGAATGTCAGCACTGGAGATGAAATGAAAACACTACCCAAGCCTAAAAGAGTTGTCCCAGGAGATGAGAGATGTAAAATTGTAATTTTTTTGATGGTGTGTTTTCATAATGTGCAGTTTGAATCATTGTGGGAGAGTAGTAAGGAATACAGAAATCTTGCTGCTCATGTAAGAATAATGCAATGGTTAATTTTGTGTGTGAAATGGAGTGGTCATGAATCATGATCACTGTGGCACCATCATCCCTCTGGTCTCAACAAGCTGGTGAAATGTTGTCAAGATCCATTCACTTTCAACACACAATTGGAACTGACTGACAAGATGTCACTTAGTTCTTGACCATGACTAATATTTGCATATGCATGTTTTTCTTCGCAGTTCATTATATCGGTATCTACACTGAACAAAAATATAAACGCAACATGTAAAGTGTTGGTCCCATGTTTCATGAGCTGAAATAAAATATCCTAGAAATGTTCCATACACACAAAACGTGTAGTTCTTGATGATCCGATAAATGGTTGATTTAGGTGCAATCTTACAAGCTGCAATATCCTTGCCTGTGAAGCCCTTTTTGTGCAAAGCAATGATGACGGCATGTGTTTCCTTGCAGGTAACCATGGTTAACAGAGGAAGAACAATGATTTCAAGCACCACCTTCCTTTTTAAAGCTTCCAGTCTGTTATTCTACCTCAATCAGCATGACAGAGTGATCTCCAGCCTTCCTCATCAACACTCTCACCTGTGTTAACGAGAGAATCACTGACATGATTGCA